TCATCAGGTTTTACGTTCTCGTTAATATTCGTTTTCTCTTGAACGCGAATGGTTCCTATTAATACGTACTTGTCCACTTATTAGGAAAATTGAGTCGTTTATTATCAAAGGTGGCAATCTGTGCATTTGGAAAAAAAAATGTTATTGATATGTCAATACAGATTGATTTGAATATAATCGTCTCCTTCAAAGAATACGGTTCAAAACCTGCATTAAATAAAGGTTAATAGTTAACCTGTTATTTATCTAAGATGTCGTTCCGAAGAGTTTTGTAACTGCCAATGGAATACAAAGTCAATAATTCGTTTTTCTGATTTACCAATAATTATCCAAAAGTCAGATTGCCGGCTTTGATAATAGTCGACTCAATTACAAGTTTTTTCGTTTACCTATTTTTATTTAATACATAATAATATTATTTTTAGTTGAGTGTAACTGGTGTTAGCTCATTCAACTACAGCATAGAATAGCAACTAAAACGCCTGGTATTGTGCAAGAGAGGTAGTAGGCCTTCGCATCGAGAAATGGCGTCTTATTTCTTAATGTTTCTTACCATCTGGCGATTGTGCATTGCGATTGGATATTTATATTCTAATTTCGCTAGGCTTACGCGCTTATGTCATGTCGTGTGCCAGCTCTTGTTACTCGTTACGTTATTAAAACAAATTGTCCGGCTTCGCTACGGTACACGTGGCTCGGGTATTGCTCCACATTGTAGATACTAATCGAAAAAGCATAACACGATAATTCTTCGTTTCGTAGGCAATAGATCTTTTATATATACATCGATCTGAAACTTTAGACGTAACAAACAATACATTGAAGTTAACATGACCAATATAATATAGAGAACAAGGATAATATATGTAATAATATTTAAGGCGTTGATGAACGTTGCCAATTTTGATGTTTGATTTCTAAGAATAAGCATTACATGTTACGCGCGTGCTGTGTGGAGAAATAATGTGATTGTGTACAAATAATCGTAATGCGTAAATCTGACTCGTATAAGGTATAGAGCGGTCGGTGTTATGCAACTTGAGCCATCAACGCGCTGAGCAGGCAATGCACTGTAATTACACACGTCCCCGGTCCCTCCGCACCTCGCCGTGCTCTTTCCGTTCCGTGAGGTACATCACGAATACAATTCACAGAATCTATCGTCATTTAGAATATTAATAAAAAAAAATAAAAATACATGGTATGCCATTTATATGTTCATTCATTTGGAAATACATGAATGTATTATTAATTGTTATAAGTTTTACATGTATATTCTAAAGGCCATAATATTTTTTTAAACAAAATACATATCGTCTTCTCGCATTAAAACTGTATAATCTGAAAACTTACTAAATTTTACAGGAGAGTGTTTTAAAGGTTTAACATATTATTATGATATTGTTAATATTAATCGTCTTTGCAATATTAATTCTTTAGTTTTTACCAGTTACAATATCTGTCTTTTAAAGTAAGATAAAATTATGTATTAATTTTGTTAATAGTAGTCAAAATATAGGTATATTAAAAAAAAAAAACTAAAACTAAACTAAGTTCTTTTTACAGTATTTATGAGAAAAATACCTGGTGATAGATATCAAATGATTCCGAATATTAACTCAATTTCGAATATTTTTGGAAATTGTACACTTTTAATGCGAAAAGACGATATAAGCGAGTGCGCGGTTCATTTTATCCACCTGCATTTGAAATACTCTAAAGATTTCTCCGTACACAATAACAAATGGTTAATAAAATATCAATGCAGGTGTGCAGCGTTCAGGTGGCCGTGGGTCGATATCATCTGCAGCGTTTGATAACGACCACCGGCAAGGCCAAGTTCATTAGCAAACCATGAAGATCGATTCGTTTTAGTAGTACTAACTGCTTTTACTATGCACCTCCTTCTCTTATCGCAATACGTCTCGTCGAGTTCCAAAGTTCACCCTGCGATAAACAAACGACACACGAGTAACTAATGTAAACTTAGGAAATATTACTGACCGTCGGAAATAGCTGCATCCCTCGGCGCCTACTTTCAATGTAAAGAAAGTAAAAGAGTCATTCATCACGGCGTGGCAAGTTGAGTGGGTCGTACAAGGCGCGTGTCCGGTTTGTCTACAAATTGGTCACATCGACCGCTAAGTGGGAAGATTTAGCTCACACGCCGCTCATGTCGCTAACCGGCTTCGAAATTCAATGTGGCTTTAAATTCTGCTTGTAAGTGATTAGAAGGAATATTCATGGTGACTTATTAATAGACGTGCCATCAATACTTTAACAGAAATAATGTACGTGACCAAATTATATTTGTTAGTTAATTTATCAACACATAATTGTGCAGTCAAAATAGTTACGGTATTTAACATGACCATAATTAGTATGGAATAAATAAATATAAAAAAGACTATTGTCAACTGACAGTATTTAATTTTGTCGTATGTTTAGTGCATTACCGTATGCGAACAGTACAGCTGGTGACTCCGAACACGATAATATCACTAAAAAACCTTTAAAAAATCATTCTTTATTGCACGCAATGTAATGTGCATTTACAATTAAAAATCAAACGATGTGTTGAGTTTACGAACTTAAGTAAGGCGGTTGCATTCTACCTTCGCGCTGCATTGCGCGCTTATTGTGTCATTTGCTTATTCATCGCCCAGGTCATGTATTATATAATGATGTCACATCTCGTAAACTACACAACGATGGAAATATTTTAAAGGAGTTTTTTTACCACTGTATAAGCGGTACTGGTTACTACTGTATAAGTATAAGCGGTCAAAACATTTAATGATGAAACAATGAAGTCCATTTGTACGTGTAAAATTCTTTTAAACTTAATACCTAAAGACAAAGAAAGATGTACACATACACAATGTTCTAATATTCATATCCAAGAGAGGTGCTATTATGGTGGTAGTAAGTTTTGTAAGACAAAGAGTTTTTCTTTAAGATATTAACCGGAAAATGTATATCCCTAGAAACAAGCAACTTTATACGGGTCTCATAGAATTATCTTTATAAAAGTGCAATGGGGCTTTCGAGTAAAAATGTATAGAGTTCACGTCAATGCTTAATGCAGTGTAACTTCCTGATTCACATTAAGGTTACTTTGGAACCTGGTAATCTCTGATGATCGTATTTTTTGCGTACATGCCGGACAAAGCCACTGCAAGCTGTTATTTGTTTAGGTAATATAAAAAGTCCTGAAATTAGACCTTCTTCTTTCTTTTCTTCTTTGTGATGTCTGACGTCCATCTACTACAAGCTATTGAACCTTATGAATGTAATGGTATGATGTATTTTCGAAGATTATTCATTCCCGATCCTGCGGACTGAATGGTAAACAGTCGACGTCGCCCAAAACACGTCATTTCGGATCCTCCCGATCGACTAACGGTGCTTTTAGGTACCCCAAGCCCCGGTCTCCGTTCTCGTCGAACCCGTCGCTTGCGACGAAGGGCTCGGCGAGTAAATTAACGAACAGACACAGCCCACTGAGTTTCTCGCCGGATCTTCTCAGTGGGTCGCGTTTCCGATCCGGTGGTAGATTCTGCGAAGCACGGCTTTTACTAGGGTTCGTGTTAGCAACAGTCAGGTTTGAGCCCCATGCGTTCACCTACTCGCCCGGGTATGCTGATATGGCCCCTCAAGACCATCAGATTAGGTAGGAAAAAAAAGATTTTCGAATATTCGTTGAGACAATTTTTTTCTATGTAAATCATATGTGATCTAAATATGCATGAAATTGAAAATGAATTTTTGAAGCCTATAGCTTTAGGAAGTTAAAAGCATTTATCTTAGAACATCATTATTTTATAAAAAGTTATAATGGCAGAAACATGAAACTCATTCAAGAATAGACACGACGAGGGGTAAACAAACTTCGACCCAGCAAAAATTGCTAATGTGCTTTGTACTCGAGCCGGAGGACGGGATAGGGAATCTAAAGTGCTTTGTGACTTTTGTGTGGGCCTGTTTTGGGCCCTAAAAAGACGACGTGGCAGTTTTTCGACATAATTCTTGCAAAAAGCAAACGCTCACTCACCTACTGGTGGTAGGACCTCTTGGGAGTCCCCACGGGTAGGTACCACCACCCCGCCTATTTCCGCCGTGAAGCAGTTTCGGTTCGAAGGGTGGGGTGGCCGTTGTAACTATACTGAGACCTTAGAACTTATATCTCGAGGTGGGTGGCGCGTTTACGTTGTAGATGTCTATGGGCTCCAGTAACCACTTAACACCATGTGGGATGTGAGCTCGTCCACCCATCTAAGCAATAAAAAAAAAAAAAACTAGTGTGGTATCCCGGGGTTACGAGTTGGTACTGCTGCTCAGGCGAAATTCAGATAACCGACGACCAGCGCTGCGTTCCTTGGGGCTAAGTTAGTGGGGGAGCTGCGTCACCTTTCCAGCGCCTGTATATGTCGATTTATTTCTTATAATATGAGGGTTCAACATGGATTGTTGAGAGATGTCAATACAACTGCGACAAAACCGCTTACCGCCCTTTAACCGATAGGCAGAAGCCCAATGAATGCCCCCTGACTGAAACCAAGTGCATTTAGTAAAATAATAATAATAAACAATCCCGGTAGGAACAATCCCTCGCAAAATATTGAGATAGGGAGATTCTTTATCACATAAAAACTATTCACAACAATATTGAGCTTGGTTTTCTACAGACAAAAATGATTCGCGTTTTCATCTATTCCGATCCGACGAACCTCTGGGTATACTGAGGCTTTACTTACCACTGTTGTTTAGGGGAATTCATCTTCCCCTCTTAGAAAATTGAATTTTAATAACATTGCGCTACCTCAGTTTTCAGCGGAACACATTTGACCCCAAAAACATACAATTGTAGACTTGATGAAAGCCTACCTAATGTTAATATTATAAGATTCGTTCTCTAGCTTAGATCTCTAGCTTAGCTTAGCTTAGCTTAACCGAAGCTAACGAAGAAGTTAAATTAATGTAATTACTCATCTTTACAGTCACATAACAAAAACGACGACATGGGATGATCCGCGGAAAACTCTCGCAGCGCAGAACGTGGCCAACACTGTCCAGCATCAAGCCGCCGAAGCCCTGCTCAATCAGAACGCACAACAAACCATTACCAACACAGCCACACCTGGTAAGAATATAGCGATCTTTGTACACAAAATTCACTTTTGATTAACCTGAAACTGTTCTTATACTACTCAATTCTTTAAGCGACTTTTACTGGTGGTAGGACCTCTTGTGAGTCCGCACAGGTAGGTACCACCACCCTGCATATTTCTGCCGTGAAGCAGTAATGCGTTTCGGTTTGAAGGGTGGGGCAGCCGTTGTAACTGTACTTGAGATCTTAGAACTTATATCTCAAGGTGCGTGGCGCATTTACATTGTAGATGTCTATGGGCTCCAGTAACCACTTAACAACGAGTGGGCTGTAAGCTCGTCCACCCAGCTAAGCAATAAAAAAAAAGTAATTCTTTGTGACGTATATAGTAGGTTACATTATAAACTTTTGACAGTGCCTTTTAGATTACGAAGATTTAAATAGAATAGAAATAGATATTTTGTTAAAAACCAATTCATTACGTACCTTTAACTTTTATTACGCTTCCGTCACAAATGGTTATTTTATGTACCCTATTGATAATGTGATATACATAATTAAGATCGAATTAACGAAATTAGGGCCACCGTGACGATTGCAATTCTTAATATTTTATAAACACGATTTTTTTATTTACAATAATCAGCATTAAAAATACATAATATATATAAAATATCTTAATAAAAATTATAAAAATAGATCTGTGTTTACGTCAATTAAATGTTTTGGTTTTCGTTCTTCGTTCTATGACTTATGAAGTTTTAGGGTTTTCCAATGTATAATTTAATTACCAACTTTCCTTATTGTAGTTAATTCATTGAGGATACTGAATTAAAATAATATTGATCCGTTAATAAAGTGAGAAGTATGAAGAGTTATTTAAAGTCTGTGTGGGTGGGCCTTAGACCATTGGAATTGATTGACTAGAATTATTTCTTTGCGTTAAAAGTAATTAATTAAGAAACAGTAATTTGAACACTGTTCAGTAACTACTTGTACGTGTTCATTAAATTTTTTGTTCTACGTATTTCATATTCATAATTTGATTGTTTGTTGTTTAGAAATTATGACACATTTCTAAACTTCTGTTCCCGATTCATTTTTCACGTGATCTATTTGGCCACCGAGGCGAGTTTAAAATAATCGACGAACTAAAAAAGAATACAAGTAAATAACCCGAATTCTAAAACTGATTTTATGACTGGAATTAACGCGTTGTTTCCGTCGGTCGATGCGAGACGAGCGATGAAAGGTGTTCGAAAAATACATCGTTATGACGGCGCCAGCAGCAGAGACTGGGCGGTTGGTGACGATTGCAGCGTTTCCCTGAGACATCTATCTACCTTCGGTTCATTAAAATATAAAACTAGTTTCATTACTGGTTTTATAATACTTATTTTTTTTGTATTGGTTAGATGGGTGGACGAGCTCACAGCCCTGGTGTTAAGTGGTTACTGGAGCCCATAGACGTTTACAACGTAAAGTTCTAAGGTGTCAAGTATAGTTACAACGGCTGCCTCACACTTCAAACCGGAACGCATTACGGCTTCACGGCAGAAATAGGCAGGGCGGTGGTACCTACCCGTACGGACTCACAAGAGATCCTCCTACCACCAGTCATTACGCAAATTATAATTTTGCGGGTTTGATTTTTATTACACGTACACATTCCTTCACCGTGGAAGTCAATCGCGAACATTTGTCGAGTACGTATTTCATTAGAAAAATTTATACCCGCCTGGGATTCGAACACCGTTGCATCGCTCAACACGGATGCACCGGACGTCTTATCCTTTAGGCCACGACGACTTCAAATGTGTGACAATAATGTTTTTAAGAACGCAAAACAAAAACTCATTTATTATTCTGGATTTCAAAATTAATTAAATATGAAGGCAATAGCGCAAGAGGGTCACGTGCATGCGCACACATGATTTATTTTTCTCGTGATAGTGTAGCCAGTACGTGACCTAGTCACGTAATCACGACGTAGTGTAAATGTGCGACCACAGCGACACTACAGCCGCCACGGTGGCACCAACCGACGCGGACGATCTCGAACGTTTGTAGGTTTACAACGCAGGCCAAAGAATAACAGTTGAAATCACTCCTAGAATACAAAGTCTGACAAACTAAATTGAATATGCAATTTCTAAAAGGGCACATGTCGCATATTTTGTCATATACGTTTTTTCATATTCATGTAGTTTTGAGGCTTACCTGCACCGGTTTTATAATAATTCCAGTAATTTTCAATTGCTAAATAACACTAAAATATATCTCAAAAGTTAATATTTCAAGTTTTAGACTGCTTTAGAAAATCATCAGTTTTTTTTTATTTCCTGAACATTTTACATTTACAGAGATGTGCCCTTTTCAAAATTGCATATCCAATTACGTTGTGCTCTCTACTTTAATGCTTTCAGTATTTTCTAACCAATTTTTTTTATGGCTCATCTGGGTGGACGAGCTCACAGCCCACCTGGTGTTAAGTGGTTACTGGAGCCCATGGAAATCTACAACGTAAATGCGCCACTCACCTTGAGATATAAGTTCTAAGATCTCAGTATAGTTACAACGGCTGCTCCACCCTTCAAACCGAAACGCATTACTCTTCACGGCAGAAATAGGCAGGGCGGTGGTACCTACCCGCGCGGACTTACAAGAGGTCCTACCACCAGTAAATTCTACGACCTATAATCCTACCACCTACCACCAAAATGTATCAATTCAAAGCAACTTTAAGCATATTAACTTAACTTCAGCTAAAATATCGGGTCTATGAAATAGTATTAAGTCATTAGTTATTGTCAACAAAACTAGACTAGAATACGTAGATATAGATACGTGAACAGAAATCCAGTACAATTTATCATCAGTGCACTACAAACAAAGCCCGATGTAGATCAGGTTACAATACAAATAATCATGTTTTCATAACGCGTTCCTCTTTAATCTGATGTGATGAGATAAGGTGCATCGTAGTCCAAACATAAAATGTTTTTCGTATTACGCATCTCGGTATTAAATAATTGTGTTAAAAAAAACACGATGCAAACTTATAAACTCCCAAATTGTAATAAAGTATCTAGATAATAAGCCTTCAATACAATTAGGTTTGTTAATCTTCTTCCCAAAAACGGAAAAAAGAGAACTGCTTTTCTTAGAAATTCATCTCAATATTCCAGTTATAATGTACACCAAAACGGTACTCTATGTGATATGATGAAAAAATTACACGCCACTAAAAATACCCAAGTTCACTTAAGCTTGTTCGTTTGTGAAAAGTTTACAAAAAATAAATTAAATCTAACATTTATTTTAAATTATTAGTTTAACGGTAAATTTAAATGGAAATGAAATACTAAAAGACACTCATAAAGTGTTTTTTTATTTTTTTTGTGTGAAATATTTCTGTGGAATCTCTAAGCTTGTTCGTTTATGGTCGGTTCAATGACATTAAGTTTGAGCCTGTTGTACTCACAAGATAAGTCTACCGAACTAGCATAAAAGAAGCTTAGTAACAAAGTTATTTTTTGCAAACGCTGTGATTTCATTAGGTAATGGTACATCGTTTGCAACAAACCTAACTACTTATCAAAATTAGTTCTGGCATTGTTCGCTAATGGAAACGTAATGGTTATGATATTGAGGTACAATTAGCCAACTGGCTCTGTGTGTTTATGAATGATCGGTTGTTTTGGTACGCGTAATGATACAAAAGCGTGAACGAGCACGAGGGTGAGGTGTTCGCGGTATCCGAACAGAGCGCTTAGGCGTTATCTATGATTCACATGGGTGCGTGTGCCAACACAACGCGGAGAGCTGAGCGTCGCGAGCGTCTGGCGCCAGTATTTCTTGGAACGAGCTCTCGATGACCTTCCCGATGTCCACCAGATTACTGATCACGTGCGCATACGGTTCAGTCGTAATCTCGCTTGCAACTAGTCGCTGTTGAGAGGATCACTTATTGTACTCATTTTATAAATATACAATAAATAATTTGTTGAATTTCGTATGCCTGATTGATTTCAGCAGCGAAGAGTACAAGTAATACGACAACAGATCCTTTAGGGCCACTGCCGGAAGGCTGGGAGCAGGCCACGACAGCGGAAGGCGAAATCTACTTCATTAATCACGCAGCTCGTACCACGTCCTGGTTCGATCCTAGAATACGTAAGTCCATTAAAAATTGTTCTCTGATTAAAGGAGATTGTATCTATATCATTATGAATGTTTTTGTTTTTTTTTGTTTTCAGCGCAACATTTGCAACGTACGCCAGTGGGTGCAACCGGCGTGGCGGGGGGAGGCTGGGCCAACGCGTCCATTCAAGCTTGTCAACAGAAACTTCGACTCCAGTCGTTGCAGCTCGAAAGGGACCGCCTCAAGCAGCGCCAACAGGAGATCAGACTCCAAGTAATAAAATAATGAATAAACTTATTCAACAGCTTACTATATTAACGAGGCATTTTATTATTACGAATCAACACGTAAATGTCACTTGATAAACAAGTTTGTGACTTGACATTTATTCGATGTAATTTTACATACCTAATCAAAGAAAAATAAATTAGAATATCATTAAAATATATCTTTAGTTTTTTTTTATTGAATTTTTTTCATGTGTTCATTTCAAAATTGTTTTGATTGAACAATATTGTGATTCTGTTTCAGCAAGAACTAATGGCCCGGCAGGCGTCTTCTATCGTATCGTCTTTGGCGAGCAGTACAGGTGCGGTGGCGAGTACTGAATTGCCCTTGGACCCTTTTCTGCCTGGGCTGACGGATCATCAGCGCCAAGAATCAGCCGATAGTGGGCTCGGCATGGCAGTCCCACAGTCCTATTCCATGCCGCACACGCCTGAGGACTTCCTCTCCGGCATGGACGATCGCATGGACTGCACCAGCGAGGCCGGAGCCAACATGGACTCCACGGACATCACGCTCGGCGACAACATAGGCTCCACTGATGACTTGGTACCGTCTTTACAGGTATAACTAACACGCTTAGGCTTACTAATAAAAACCAGCACTTAACTTTCCAAACGGTTTTAAAGCCACAGAATTTCATGACTTCTCTATCATATAGACAAATTACTTTATAACAGAAGCGTAAGGTCGAATTTACTTTTAACTGTCACTACTACTAATGGGCTATGAGTATTCGTTTTAATATTTAAAAAATAAATGTAATAATTATGTGGTATAAGTGATTATATCAAGTATCTGTTTTATGCATGTATTTATTGAAATACCTATCGTGACTTTCTCAGCATCATCTTTGTTACAACCAACTGATGCAAAAATACAAAATAACATAGCTTTTAAACGGATACGTGTTTTTGTCCTATTCTTACTATCTCAATTTTTAAACCATAATTTTTCATGGCATGCTAAAATATGCCCCTATATTTGAGTAGAAACTTTGAGTAGAAATCCTAGATGTCCTGCGAATTTTCAAATAAGATCAATAATAAAAATGAATAGTTAAAAAAATCTTAAAGGTAGTTTAAATACGTGTGTTGACGTGAAGACGCCACCTACCAGCGCAGGTCTTAGGAACTATTCATGAACAAAAAGAAAAAAATTCAAGGTCGTCATTTTGGGTACACTACTCGAAAAAATGTAAAAAGGTAAATTTAAACATTTCCCGAAAACAAAAAGTATATAACTTAATCCATCTCGAAGTTTTAAAATGACAATTATTATAAACTCGAGATTAAGCTGTGAACGTAGGTTAATGTACATACGACTATATGTACTGCTTGCGAAAAATTAAGCATTTATTGTATAAGAATAACGGTTAAGTCGGACAACGATAATTTGAAATCACTACATAGTATAAAACAAAGTAGCTTTCTCTGTCCCTATATCTGTCTGTCCCTGTGTATGCTTAAATCTTTAAAACTACGCAACTGATTTTGATGCGGTTTTCTTTAATAGATAGAGTGATTGAAGAGGCAGGTTTATATGTATAATAACATCCATTAAATAATGGAGAAATCAATAATAAATTACAGTTTCCGAAGCGAAGCGAGAGCGGGTCGCTAGTTGATAATATTTTCAAGGGGTCAATCTATCCGTGGATAAAATTATATCCCCCCAGTTTGAGAGTCGAACCTGGTCGAACAGGGAAATGTGTTATATTTAACTTCGTAGTCTAAAATTACAACAGTTGGACGTATTTCAAAGTTTTGAGCTTCGTGTAAATAAATAGTTAATATATAATTTTTAGTTAGTACAACTTTTTTTTTATAAATCACAGAGTCAAAACTAGAAACTACCAGCTAATAAAAACATCGCTAAATTCATTTATGAAAGGTATGAAAGGGTTTATTTGCTCAAACAATATTGTTTTCTAAAATAGACAAAAGATCCCCAAGATTTATCAGTGCAGTGATCCAAGTATCGATGTTAGGAGCGTAACAAGTCCAATATTATTATTGCCAGCTCACTGAAACGCTTTGCTAAAGTTTCCAAATGTTTCTTTAAACTGAAGCAGTACAAGATTCTTTTTCTATTTACAGCTGAACGAGTTCACTAACGATATACTCCTGGATGACGTGCAATCGCTCATAAATTCAACACCGAGCAAACCTGACAACGTACTCACGTGGCTGTAAAGCGTAGGCGTATCATGTCAAGTATTTTCTACATATTTTTATTTTTATTAAGTTGCGTAAATGAAACTTCAAAATAATCAGGACTTCAAAATGAAACTTCAATCAGGACTGCTCTTAATTTACGGATAAAAATTTATCCCACGCGAAAGAAATGACTGAAACGAAAAACAATGATTTTCAGATTCCCGCCAAATTTAATTGTTTGATTTGACATTTTTTTAATTAATGAACTGTGATTCGTGATATATTTAAAAGTCCGATGATAGGTTGAAACTTTTTGATTTACAACTAAAATACACCGAACGAAAATAAAACATGTTAAATTGAGTGCGTAAATTAAGGCAATCCTAAAATTGTATCATAAATCCGATACATGTGAAGACGTGATTCGATCTGAGAGAGATCCGAATTGCTAATTTCGTCATTTTACTAGTTTAGTTCATAATGTCTAGAAGTTTCCTTTACCAGATTTAGGTATCAGTGCTATTATAGTTATTTTTAATTAGTGTACTTACCGCTGTTGAAAAAGTCCGCCATTACATTGTCGTTGATGAGGTAATATGGATGTGAATTACACTGAAAATGACAATAACTGGTGTGTGCGCGGAATATTGTGAACATATTTGGTTCATTATAATAATAATGTTTGACGGCAGTTTCTAACAACACTTCATCGAAGTCTTTCGCAGCGGCCAATGTAGGCAACTATAGTTGACCTACTTTTAACAAACTTTAAATAATATTTATAGTTTTCTGGTAATCTAAGAGCACTGTACTCAGGATCACGCGTTGCCTACGTCGGTTTCTGAAAAACTCCACGACGTCTTCAGATTCAAAAGGGACAGCAACCTAAATTCACAATCTCAGATCGGCAATACATAAAGCTGTATTTCTCTTCATGGCCAGTAATTAGGTATAATTTACTCTATCGTAAAATTGCTTCCTTTTGTACTGATAATGACGTAACGGTTTGCTTTCTAACATTGACTATACGAAATGAATTTCATCTCTGCATTTATTAAAATGAGATTGAAATTACAGACGTCTAAAAGAACTGAACCGTTGAATATTCGAATGTCTGATTTGTACCAACAAAAAGTGCTGCTTCTAAGAATTTGTTGTCACAGTATCAACTTCTGTTTTAAAAGAATTGATACAGACGATTAGTGGCATAGCATTCTCTTTACATTATTATTTTTTATCTTTAACCAAACATAAAATTTTCTCGAAAATAATTCACCATGACTATTAAATGACGGTTAGCTGGTTGAATAGAGGTCGATACTAGGTTTGGTCCCGACCAGAAGCTCTTTTTCGCAAGCCTGTTTTCCGAACGGAAAATAACCGCCGTGCGACAGAATCATTCGTTAATCAGTTTCCCATATTCTTTTGATCGAGATTATCGGTAAACGAACTCGTGCCTGCCCTTATAAGCGAAGTATTCGTTGTAGTGTATTATCTAAAATTAAGATTGTGATAACATCTTGACGTAACAGTGCCTTAACGTGCCTTAAATAAATATATTTATTATGTAATTTAGGTGATATTGATATTTCTACACTATTTCTACATTTTTACATTTTCATTATTATATTCGATTAATATGGTTGACAGCAAACGAGCTACGCCATCGTGTAGATTTGCGTTTTGTCGACTCACACCGTCCTTGTGTATTTTTCGAGATTATAATTAGTTGTTAAGTTTGATACATAGTTAATTCTTTAATTAAGTCATCATGTTGGCAACTATTACATTTAGTCTATTTTAAATGAAGCGTTAAGTACGCGTCGCGCATGTCATTATCGCGACACAGTTATACAAATATGTATGAGATACTCTGTGTGTTGTATTCGAGTATGCCACTTTTGCCTTATTCATTATATGCATATACTTATAATAATTATATTGTAATGACAAGTAGTATATATGTCTATATGCTAGCTATGAATGAAATTATCTCAATGTCAACTTTGATTTTATATTCTTCTTACCTATCTAAAAATCGATGAAATTTATTTGCTATTATACTATTTTTAAATCAAATTATCTTCTCAAAATTGTGTTTTAGCCCACCTAGTCTTTAGATTTCTTTCGCATGAGTGTTATGAATTCAAATAGCTCGATTGGTTTGTATTTTAGGCCTTTTTAATAATGAAATACTACATTGAAAACTTTGCCATATTAGTAAATGTACTACTATTCTAATAAGACTTAATGTAACTTTCATTTATGTTAACTAGCATTAACTTCGTCTGTGTAACTATTGTAATTAGACGTAACGGTGCTGGGTTCATGATACATATAATTTTGTATTTTGTAGATCCATTCGTTGTATACCTATTTAGTATTTGTCTCGTGTTAATAATGCTATGAGTTAATTAGCGACGCTTCTCGTATTGTTCGGTTCATTATTCTGTTTTATATTGCTTTCATTTAGTTCGGTCGCTTCCCGGTAGGGGGCGTCCGCTTCGCCATCGCCACATCCTCGACCTTGGTCTCAACCAACCGACACAACACTAACGTGTATTACCAAATGATAATAAAAACATTACCTAGGGTTAAAGTATATTTTCTAAAAACGTCATTCTATCGTTCTAAATTGACTATAATTAGCACTAAAATCTGACTCTTTTCACTGTTAAAATTCATACCGCGTTTCTTCAATCAATTTCGAAGTCACTTCATCTAACAATAGCAGTAGTTACATTTTTCTAACTGTAAAAGTGAAGTTTCTATAACTGTCATTATTTATTTAAATCGCTTTAACTGTCACTATCATAGATATACCAATTTTACAATAGATTAAAAATGATAAACATCGGTTTTTTTTCGACAAAATTCGACATTGTCACCAATTTACTATGTTAAATGTGTTATAATAAATTTGTGACAATACGTCTCAGTAGTGCATATTATAAATAGGAGGGACAATGTAAGGTAACGTAATGACAATATGTCATCAATTTCTGTCGCGAATCGATTTGAAGGTTTATTTAATGCAAGTGAAATTTCGATTTTGTCCTAAACCAACAATAACTATGTCTTACTCACGTAAATTGGTGTTAAACTATTTTAGTTGGCGTGTCGGTTGGAGCCTCATCCTTGTATCGACTAGTGTTCCTGTTCTAATTATTGTTTTAATGTCACATCGAGAAACATTCCATGATGCTAACAGTTCGCTCGGCGCCGGTCCTCTTACGACGAGGCTGGCACTGCTTGCTAAAGAATAATTTTCGGAACAATATCTAGAATTTAAAACTATATTCGTTTAATTCTATAAGTAAGTAAACTTTATATTTTACACACATATCTCTCCAGTTTGATAGCAGATGCAAGTTTTCTCTGTAGTGTATGTACGTGTATCAATGTTATAACAATGAAATTAAAAGTGTCGATTCATTCATTTACTATAATTTCATTGTAAATAATTTTCGATATTCTTATATGGAGTAAATATTTGTTTAATACCGAATGCAATTTGTTTTATTTATCACAAGGACATATGCCATAATAATAATATATTTATTAATACAAATATTAATCTCGAATCATATAGTTGAAAAAATTTCGTCGTAGATTAAGCAATATCTTTTTATAATTACAGTTTATGTTGAATTGCTCTTCGCTGTACATATTTAATATAAACTAGCTGACCCGGCAGACTTCGTAGTGCCTCAATCGATAAATAAAAGACCTAAACTTTTGTATAAAATAAACTTAAAACAAACAAAAGGAATCCGTCCGACGGGGGGGACACATGAAAATGAAAAACAAAATTGTTATTTTTATTTAATTCCGAGTATTTTCATATTTATCTACCTTTTAAACCTTCTCTGGACTTCCACAAATAATTCAAGACCAAAATTAGTCAAATCGGTCCAGCCGTTCTCGAGTTTTAGCGAGGCTAACGAACAGCAATTCATTTATATATATATAGATTTAAATAAATTGACGCGTTTCTCGTCAGTATTTCAAAATATGTAGAATTATGATATCTACAATTCTTCTTTGTATTTATTCTGTAGAATAAAAAAACAACAATTTTTATTAAAGCTTAATATTTATTTAAAGCGACATGCATTAAGGAAACTACGTACAATAGTGATTAGTGATGCGTGCTTTTTTTTAGTTGTTAATATTTCATCAGCCGGATACTCTTAGGATTTATTTCCTCACCTGGAAAAGATCATGCAAATGTAGCTAAGCTTAGGTTAGTTTTACGTATCGGATATAAGAGAACCGTTCGAAAACTATAGAGACATGACAGGACGCCCGCGAGGACGACGACAAAATCAAACAACTAATAATAAAACAAGAACTTATATCCGATACAGAAATTAAAATGTGAAACGCGTTAATATTAAAAGCATACAATTAGTCATAAACTGCATTGCTACATATTGGATGAAACCAACACCGTGTACTTAATAAATAGCACTTTTAAAATTCAATAGATTATATTTCAACTTGAGCAAAAAAAACAAAACAAAAAAACAATTATAGAAGTGTACTTATTATGAATACAATGATAGGACGTTTACACGTGCTGTCCTTGAGAGAGAAACAGAGAGAGAAACTATAATAAGTCGATGTTATTTCGATAAAAACATTAGATTCTTCACATCGTTGTACTAGAATTGGATTTTGAAACTTTACCATGACATGCCTAATGTAACATTTTAACAAAATCATACACTGACACCACAAAAATGTCTACCTTTTTTTTATAAATAACCAAAACCAATTGACCAATCTACAAGTGCAGACATCAAGTGCAGCTCTAGCGGTATGAAAGATTTTGTCCATGAGGATACTTAATGTAGTCTTAAAATATCGTATAAATCATAAACTATAGCAAATTTTTAGTAAACTACAAGCTAAGTTAAGTTGTAGCGTTATTCAACATTTCGTTCTTACAGCTGGGTCCTTAAAACGCTCGTCCTGGGGCAGTTCGCGGTTGGCGACGAGCTGGCGATAATAATCTGCTGAGAGTTTAGGAGTCCTCGGTAGGTCCGGATCGGTGATGTCCACGTGGTAGAAGCCAAAAGGTTCCCTTCGAAATTGAAATTTTAAACATTATTCTAGAAGGTATTTATAGAAATGATTCAATTCTTTATAAGTCGTCGTGGCCTAAAGGATAAGACGTCCGGTGCATTCGTATCTTGCGATGCACCGGTGTTTGAATCCCACTGGCGGGTACCAATTTTTCTAATGAAATACGTACTCAACAAATGTTCACGATTGACTTCCACGGTGAAGGAATAACATCGTGTAATAAAAATGAAACCCGCAAAATTATAATTTGCGTAATTACTGGTGGTAGGATCTCTTGTGAGTCCACGCGGGTAGATACCACCGCCCTGCCTAATTCTGCCGTGAAGCAGTAATGCGTTTCGGTTTGAAGGGTGGGGCAGCCTTTGTATTATACTGAGACCTTAAAACTTATATCTCAAGGTGGGTGGCGCATTTACGTTGTAGATGTCTACGGGCTCCAGTAACCACTCAACACCAGGTGGGCTGTGAGCTCTTTGACCCATCTAAGCAATAAAAAAAGGTAAGATAGTCAACAGCACATTACACAACACATTACACAACTTGGGTCCCGTTCTCCCCCGTGAGACATAACAATGAAGTCTCAAATCTCTTGAATAGCAGCTGATCCATTCTTTAGTTTGAAATGAAAGAGTACATATAAAGCAATATAGCAGAAATATCGGTTTGAGTAGTAATAGAGAAATTAGAGAGAGTCTTAGACTATGTATATCAGTAAAGGTTTCGGAAACCTACTACTACTGTGAATGATGGGGAAGTATACGAGGAGAACGGGGTTGTAAATCCGTTTCTTTTATTTAATTCCTGTTTTATTTAATCTTGTTTGATTCTCGGGCCATGTCGCCTTAACGATAGCACGGCTTATTGTTAAAACACATGACTTTAGATATACTTAGTCTGGCCATAAATACTGTTACAATTAAAAATAAACAAAATATTACATTTGAATTTGGAATCTGTCATTTTTATATGATTGCTCATTGAGTTTTCTCATTTTCGCGCCAGTACATTGTACTATAATTTTGCGATATTAAAATGGAGTGGGGTGATAAAGAGAACCGAATCGCTGTGATTGCATTACACAAAGTAGGTATGGAACCAAATGCAATTTTTAAAACTCTCGATACGCTTGGTATTAGTAAAATGTTTATGTACCGGGCTATTAATAGGTGCAATGAGACCTCCTCTATTTGTGACAGAAAAAGATCTAGCCGTCCACGTAGTGTTCGTACGAAAAAGGTGGTCAAAGCAGTAAGGGGAAGAATTCGAAAAAATCCTGTCCGGAATCAAAATATTTTATCTCGGGAGATGAAGATAGCACCTAGAACCATGTCGCGTATTTTAAAAGATGACTTAGGACTTGCAGCCTATAAGAGACGTACTGGTCATTTCTTAACTGATAATTTAAAAGAGAATAGGGTGGTAAAATCGAAACAACTACTGAAGCGGTACGCAAAGGGAGGTAATAGAAAAATGTTATTTACGGATGAGAAATTTTTTACAATTGAGCAACATTTTAACAAACAAAATGACCGTATTTATGCTCAAAGCTCTAAGGAAGCTTCCCAATTAGTCGACAGAGTGCAACGTGGGCACTATCCGACTTCAGTGATGGTTTGGTGGGGTATTAGCTATGAAGGAGTGACTGAGCCATACTTTTGTGAAAAAGGTATCAAAACATCGGCACAAGTGTATCAAGATACCATTCTTGAGAAGGTAGTGAAGCCCCTTAACAACACCATGTTCAATAATCAAGAATGGTCCTTCCAGCAAGACTCGGCGCCAGGTCATAAAGCTCGGTCTACGCAGTCTTGGTTGGAAACGAACGTTTCGGACTTCATCAGAGCTGAAGACTGGCCGTCGTCTAGTCCCGATCTTAATCCGCTGGATTATGATTTATGGTCAGTTTTAGAGAGTACGGCTTGCTCTAAACGCCATGATAATTTGGAGTCCCTAAAACAATCCGTACGATTGGCAGTGAAAATTTTTCCCATGGAAAGAGTGCGTGCTTCTATTGATAACTGGCCTCAACGTTTAAAGGACTGTATTGCAGCCAATGGAGACCACTTCGAATAAGCTTTTTATACTTAATTTTTTTTTATATATATGTATTAAACTAACACACTGTAAAAATAATAAATGTTATTTGCAATAGAATTATTTTTTTCCTTTGTCTCAGTATTTATGGCAAGACTAGGTATATTACAAGTGTAGTTTGCGCACAGCTGAAACTAGTTTAAAATGAAATGCCTCTTTATCTTACGTGAATCCAGCACGCCATTCGAAATTGTCCATAAGAGTCCACGCAGTGTAACCCAGGACTCTCACGCCATCATCGTAGATAACATCCAATATCGCAGACAGATAGTCCTGTTTCATAAAATTTAATTAGATAAGAGTATAAAATAACTAAAATAGATTAACAAACAACAAAAAATGTTTGGAATTGTTAATTTTATTATTGAACAACATAAAATGTTATATCAGGTGAAACGAACCGACACTAAAACCAAACAGTAACAGTGGTGGTGGTTCTTGGGTTAGAAAAGAAAACATTGCAATTTGCACCCAATGTTCAGCCGATACAATTCAAAATCAGTTACCGTATTTAATTAATGAGAGAGTTAATGAATTTTAATAAGAACGTACAAAAACAATCTCTATTTTTTGGTTTAATACGAGCTGTGTAGTTTATCAATTTACATATTATGTGAAAGTTTATTATAATAAATACCCTTTTAGATATGCACAGATAGTATTTGTTGATAAAATAATGTAAGTCATCAAAGTTTCGTTTATCAGCCTCCGGATATATTTAGAACTTACGTTGTAATACTGGATGCGTCCGTAGTCTTGCAAGGTACCGCGATCGGAAAATCCATTTTCAGTTATGTAAATCGGTGGGTCATTGTACGAGCTCTTGCACCAACGTAGCAGATTAGCGAAGCCAGTCGGCACCACCTGAACGATTTTAATAGTTTAATTAATAATTATAATCATTGGGTATATTTTTATATATATAAGTGATTTAAGTCGTCGTGGCCTAAAGGATAAGACGTCCGGTGCATTCGTATCTAGCGATGCAACGGTTTTCGAATCCCGCAGGCGGGTACCAATTTTTCCAATAAAATACGTACTTGATAAATGTTCACGATTGACTTCCACGGTGAAGGAATAACATCGTGTAACAAAAATCAAACCCGCAAAATGATAATTTTCGTAATTACTGGTTGTAGGATCTCTTGTGAGTCCGCACGGGTAGGTACCACCACACCGCCTATTTCTGCCGTGAAGCAGTAGTGCGTTTCGGTTTGAAGAGTGGGGCAGCCGTTGTAACTATACTGAGACCTTAGAACTTATATCTCAAGATGGGTGGCGCATTTACGTTACAGTAGTCTATGGGCTTTAGTAACCACTTAACACCAGGTGGGCTGTGAGCTCGTCCACCCATCTAAGCAATTAAAAAAAAGTGATTGTTACCCTAAGCCACTCCGAAGCTGAATCTCCGCCGACTTCTAGACTAGTAATGGAGCCAGTATCCTTCAACCAGGACGGGGATTTAGCTATTGGGTCGACTCCGGGGCCAGTAATCAAGTGTGTGGCATAGTGGTTAATACCCAGAAAATCGGAAGTTCCCTTAATCCTTTGAATCCAATAATCATCAAACTGTTCTAATCGGGGCTTGCTGAAACCTTCAGCTGCGCTTTGCTTTGCGACATTTTCAATCATAACTTCAGGATAACCACCTTCGTTGGTAAATATTGGATGTGCGAACCAACCGAACTGTAAGAATATGCATATTTTAAATGGAATAATAATCCCGTATAATAATTGTTCAATATGGACGAAGAGTTACTCACTTTAAACTGATTGGCAGTTTCAGCCAACGCAACCTGCTCTGCATTTTCCGGATCGCTAGGTTCATACCAGATCGAATTAATAGAAATCATAACTGTACCGTTTTGAGTGGGGCGGTATTTTTCGTTGTAGAGATGATAAGATTCAGCGTGCGCCTTCAGTAAATTATCACTGCATAGATAGTTGCCGATGCCATGGCTGTCCAAAGCGGGAGCCTTCTTTATATCGCCATAGGCATCTTCGCATACCTCGTAGGGTTCGTTAATAGTAATCCACGATTTAATCTTGTCACCGAATTCCCTGTAGCACACGTCGGAGTAATCACGGAAATAATCAACCATTTTGGAATTAGTCCAGCCTCCGAGGTCTTGTAATGACTGAGGTAAGTCCCAGTGAAAGAGTGTAACCTGCAAATGTACACGCCAGTTTCACTTACATTCGACTTCGTTCTATTAGAATATTTGAGTCGACTATTATCAAAGCCGGCAATGTGACTTTTAGACAATTATTGGTAAATCAGAAAAACGAATTATTGACTTTGTATTCCATTGGCAGTCACAAAACTCTTCTGAACGACATCTTAGATAAATAACAGGTTAAGTATTAACCTTTATCTAATGCAGGTTTTGAACCGTATTCTTTGAAGGAGACGATTATATTCAAATCAATCTGTATTGACATATCAATAACATTTTTTTGTCCAAATGCACAGATTGCCACCTTTGATAATAGACGACTCATTTGACACAAAAACTTCTTAAAACACAAAGTTCTTACAAGAGGCTCGATATTTTTCTCGGCAAGAGCATCGAGGAGAGCGTTATAGTACCGAATTCCGTCAGGATTCACGTGATCCGAGAAACCAGTTGGCAATATCCGTGACCAGGAAAGCGAGAACCGGTAAAAATCAACGCCAAGGTAAGTGAGCTCCTCCACATCCTCGAGGTAACGATGGTACGAATCACATGCAACATCTCCGTTGGTCCCGTCAGCTATCATCTCAGGTCGGGTGTGAGTTAAACGATCCCACACATTTTCGGATTTCCCTAAAACGATTTCAACGACATTGATTACATAACAGATGAATAGTAATATCTTGATGTTAAGATAAAAATAACATATGACAAGTGTAATACTACCTCCTGTGAGGACGATAAGAAATGTACGATGCTTATCTCGGTGACAAGAATAAGATTAAGACCACTCACCGCTGACATTCCAAGCACCCTCGATTTGATGGGAAGCTGTTGCCACACCGAATGTAAAGCCTTCAGGAAACTTAGTGTATGCGGCTAATCCTCTATAAAAAGTTTAACATTATAATACAAAAACAAACTCTCAAAAAATAATCTCTGACATGGCAAATATCTATTGACAACGGCTACTGGGAGATTTGTAGCTACTGGGTACTGGCGGGGACCCGGTCTAAACGGTTAACACTTATTGTGAATTTAGCCTTAGCGTAACCTTTTTTCGATGGCAGTATGCGAAAGAACTTAGAAACAAATATGTACCAATAAATTTAAGGTTCATTCTTATTCATGTTTTAATTGTATTATTCGAGGTCGCTTGCCAAATCTGGCGTCAGACTCGATATTCACTTTCATTCATGGAGTACAAAACAAATTAATCAGAAGGAATAAATAGTTGTGTATCGTTGAAGTAGCGTTCTAATCAGGTGTTATGATTGCGAAGTTGATTTGATTTGTAAATAAACATTACTCACGTATGGCACACCGCCAGTATTGAGAGAGCTGTTAACCAAGCCATTGTGTCGTCGCGCACCGCCGACCTCCTATGCCAAACTGCAATACGACAGCTCACGATCCTTCTTTATGAACACCTTCAACCTAATCTTTCAAGAGGTTATTTTTGAGAATATTTCGTGATAAATCTCTCGACGTGACAGCTAACACCCGTATCTGATATAGAAACAAAACTTGAAAGATATTTATTAAATACATAGGTAGTTTGAAAAGTGACAAAAAATAAGCCCACAAAATGTTACAATAAGGTAGGCTTATAGGTACTTATTTTTTAAATATAAATTTATTAAGCCACAGTGTTGAATTAAATGGCACCTATTTAATGTTTATTTGATACAGTGAGCACTACGAATCGACGTTATAGTTATAATAAAGTACGAATTTAATCTCATTGATTGATATGTATTGGGCGTTCTGCGGTTTCACCTGCTTTGAATTTGGAATAAAAATTATCACTACTAATCGAATGACACCCCACTGATTCAATTGCATTTGATTTGCGAACTGAGACACGAGGTCCAACGTGCAGTTGTATTGTATAGCGACTGTCCCACTCTTCAAATCACATTGCATTGGCAGCTCGCGAATCAATCTGTGCAGTATCTACCTAGGCGAGTTTACGATACATCCTGTACCAGTAAATTTAGAAAAAAAAATCTACTTCTCATAAGAATTTCTAACTCCCTCTACCTGAATGAGTAAGAGATTTACCTAGTACAAAAAACAGTGAGTAGTTCACGACTACAAAATCTATTTTACTCTCTCAAAAGCTAATCATAGTAATGTACACGGTTGTCTTTCTTATTTCCAGATAGACGTGAAAAGTTCAAGTCTTCCATCTCATTCTGTCGCAGGCTAAATTTGACAGCTGCACATATTTGGTATGTCTTTAGTGTCCCCTTTCGAATGTCATTTCCGTTTTGTTAAATTTAAAATTATAACAGTGCTATGGAAATTTCGCCTTCGAATATTATACTGCTGTTAAGGACAGACGATGAGGAAGTAGTAATATGCACTCGAAGAGTTCTTGATCGTAATACGAAAAGCCTTTGCCAAAATATAACCTTATTAAATTATTGTTACCCGTCGTCATAACGCGACGAGATGTACAGAAAAGAGTACCTAATAGTATTCATAGAATATTAATAGATAATCCATTCCTTCACAATATCAGATCTACCAGTGAACATAAATCACTGTGCAGAAGCGCTCTATTTTGATATAATTTGTCCCTAAATTTTTACAATGCGACACATCTAATAACGTTCTGGAAAATTCAGTAGATTCGCTTGACTTAGGCTTATGATTACTAATTGAGTGGTTCGAAACGCATTTGAATCGGTCTAGTATTCCTTAGATGATTCTCGATCGAATAATTTCAACTAACAAACAGTCAAATTTTGGAAGTGTTTCCAACAAATATAATATCTTCAATTTACAGACATGTATATCTACGGTTACTAAAGTAATAAAACAACTAATTACATGGAAATTTATTTATTTTACTGATTATAATTCGTTAATTCGGCATTTAGAGTTGAAACAAAAGCGTTCGTGTATGGCTATAGGTAAACAAATATTCAAGGCAAATAATGTAGAAAAAGTTTATCAAATATGTTATTGGTAGTATATTAATAACCTTCATTAATAATCTAGTCTTCATGCTATTGACCGACATATAGATCTATAAACTTCGCATTCATTTTTATTAACTAAAAGTATTCGAGGAGACCGTGACAAAACTGTTTACTATCTATTTAAAAAGAATTTTTAACATGATCTACATAGAAAATGAAAATTAAACCGATAATTTTCTGACCAAACTATCATTTAAACAATGACATGCCCTTCTTCAAATGAGGTCAGAGGTAGGAAGGACCTTTGTGGTAGTAGGTAGGACCTTTTGTGAGTCCACGCGGGTAGGTACCACTGCCCTGCCTATTTCTGCCGTGAAGCAGTAATGCGTTTCGGTCTGAAGGGTAGGGCAGCCGTTGTAACTATACTGGGATCTTAGAACTGATATCTCAAGGTGGGTGGCACATTTATGTCGGAGATGTCTATGGGCTCCAGTAACCACTTAACACCAGGTGGGCTGTGAGCTCGTCTACCCATCTAAGCAATAAAAAAAGAGTCCTTAGTAACAGGCAGCGGCTTGGCTGTGCTCCTGGCATCGCTGATGGCCATAAGCGACGGTACCCATATACCATTAGGTGGATGTTTGTTCGGCTATACAAGAAATAAAAAATCTTCAAAGGGTTCACTTTAAAAAAGTGCTGTTGAGCGTTTTTAATAAAAAGCGTATTTTTTTGATAGTTATTATTAAATGTTATTGTGTAAGAAAATACCAGTATTATTACCTCCTTTTTCTCTGAGTGCTTCCTTTGCGTAACACGTATACATATAAAGTGCTTGGGTGTTTCTGGTAACACTTTTCTTTCAGTTTCCCGTGAAAAATATAAACAAATTCAGTTATAAAGTATTCAATTTAATTCCATAAGATTTTAAAATTTGGCTACGTTTCATCGAGTAGCCCTTGCATGACGCAAAGATAATCTACAGATGTAGCTAATGAGTGAGCAAGGAGGATTCCACGTGTTAGAACCTCACGTACTTTCCACACCTCGGTTCCCGGTATAGGTTTAAAGGCGACAGAGAGTGCCCGTCTCATTACCGATGAAGGAATGAAGTGCCGTGGTTGATCTAATCGCCAACTAAAACAAAAAAATGTATTTTAAAAGTTTAGTCGTGTTATAAAATTCGCAGACATTTCGTTTTTTTTAATAGGATTTGTGGGCGAGCAAAGGCTCGGCCAGGAGGAGTGGCATTTGCTGACAGCTGCCCGAGCGCCTCCGAAGGAGACCTAACAACTCAAGAGCAGCTGCTTCGCGAATATATCTACTTCCGGATCGGAATCGTGGCCCGCTGAGAAGATCCGGCGAGAAACTCAGCGAGCTGATGCATAGGGTAAGGTTGCATGGGTAGGTTAGGATGAGTACGGTTTAGTGTTAGGGCTAAAGACGTCTAATGCAAAGGTTATTTATTGGATCTGATGGATCCGTAAAGAAGTGTCTAGGGCGTCGACGATGATTGGCTCTTGCGTGATCAGAATTCGAGGAGTAGTCAGCGGCGGCAACGACAAGGTGACTATCATGACGCATAGCCTTATCGAAGTACCGTCCCGACGCTGACTTCATGTATTTCCGGATTGATTCGAGGCCCAGCTCGTCGTGTAGGTCAACTTTCCTTACGAACCACGGAGCACCAACGACTAACCAGCAAAGACATTTCGTAAAAGACAACAATACCTTTTATATAAATATTTCAACTTTCAAATATCTCTCTTGAATAATAAATAGACTACTTTTAAGAGTTACGTTTTTTCATTAGGTACTCATTACTCTATATCTTTAATATTGTTAAAGAACCACTATTCGCTACAGCATCTAATTCCTATCGTAAATTATTTCTACGAGTTGAAGTAGTGAAGCTGATGTTTTTTTTATTTATTGCTTAGATAGGTAGACGAGCTCATGGACCATCTGGAGTTAAGTAGTAACCGGAGCCCATAGAAATCAACAACGTAAATGTCGCCATCCACCTTGAGACATGAGTTCTAAGTCTCAGTTTTTTTGATACAACTGCTGCCCCACCATTAAAGCAATGCAAATGCATTTCTGCTTCACGGCAGACATGGGCAAGGTGGTGGTACCTACTTATGCGGGCTCACAAGACACCCTACAACCAGATATTTAGATATTGCTACTTACTGACCTAAGGTACAGTCCTTCAAATGTAAAATAAGTTATTACAACAATAAAAACAGGATAGATCAGGGGCAGAACAACAATGAGACATAAAACCAGCGTTCCAATTAGCTTAAGAAACGTAGGGAAAGGTGCTCCGTGCCGCCATAGTGCCCCGATGTCGCTACCGAACTCTCGGAGCAACAAACGCATACGTCCTAGCGTGGAAGCCGACCGTAACTGCTGAAAAACCAGGAAAAATTTAGTTAAATGCAAACCGTCCCAAAAATTCATTTATGTCATGTATTGAAATTTCTTTCCTCTTCGTATAGATTTCTTTATTGGCGGAACCCATGAGTTCAACACATCTAAATCGACGAAAAAAAAGTACTTTTTACGCAAAGGTGTTTTTTTAAATATTTACTATTTAATATAAAACTCTTTGTTTTAAAATCAAGCTGTAGATTCCAGAGTATATTTAAAATTTAAGTAATGAGATAGTTATAAATGTGCTCTCGAAGACATAGTGACTTATTACGGGTTAAATATATTATGTAACAATAACATAATTTGTATTATCTATACTTAGTCTGGCCATAAATACTGTTACAATTAAAAATAATCAAAATATTACATTTGAATTTGGAATCTGTCATTTTTATATGATTGCTCATTGAGTTTTTTCATTTTGGCGTCAATACATTGTACAATATTTTGCGATATTAAAATGGAGTGGGGTGATAAAGAGAACCGAATCGCTGCGATTGCATTACACAAAGTAGGTATGGAACCAAATGCAATTTTTAAAACTCTCCATACGCTTGGTATTAGTAAAATGTTTGTGTACCGGGCTATTAATAGGTGCAATGAGACCTCCTCTGTTTGTGAAAGAAAAAGATCTGGCCGTCCACGTAGTGTTCGTACGAAAAATGTGGTCAAAGCAGTAAGGGAAAGAATTCGAAGAAATCCTGTCCGAAAGCAAAAGATTTTATCTCGGGAGATGAAGATAGCAGCACCTAGAACCATGTCGCGTATTTTAAAAGATGACTTAGGACTTGCAGCCTATAAGAGACGTGCTGGTCATTTCTTAACTGATAATTTAAAAGAGAATAGGGTGGTAAAATCGAAACAACTACTGAAGCGGTACGCAAAGGGAGGTCATAGAAAAATTTTGTTTACGGATAAGAAAATTTTTACAATTGAGCAACATTTTAACAAACAAAATGACCGTATTTATGCTCAAAGCTCTAAGGAAGCTTCCCAATTAGTGGACAGAGTGCAATGTGGGCACTATCTGACTTCAGTGATGGTTTGGTGGGGTATTAGCTATGAAGGAGTGACTGATCCATACTTTTGTTGTTGTTGTTTTTTTTTATCGCCTTTGTAGGCAAACGAGCATACGGCCCACCTGATGGTAAATGGTCACCGTGAGAGCAGTACTCAACGCGAGGTCGGACCTGCGCTTTATAAAGCGCAAGTCTCTGCCCAGGCGTGAAATACCGCTTCGCTCTGTTGAGGACTCCCAACATTTTAGAGGCCAATTTGGCTTTACCTTCCAAATGACTCCGAAACTGGACATCGCTCGAAATATCGACCCCTAGAATCCCGATACTCGCGGAAAGCTGCAGGGATACTCCTTGAAATTCCGGCGCCATGACAAATGGGTCCTTCTTCGCAGTGAACGCGCAAACCTGTGTCTTCAATGGGTTGAACTGAACAGAATTCAGTTCATCCCACTTGGAGACCCGCCCCAGAGAGCTCTCCACTTCAGACACAAGTTTTAATCGCCTCTCGTGTACAACGCTTCGAGAGAGACTCGATGGCCGATATATCGCGCATCCCCTGTGCTATCATCCGCATAGCAATGCATGCCATCAATAGATAGCATGTCATTGACATGAAAAGCGTGGGGGAGAGCACCGAACCTTGTGGAACACCAGCGTTGATGGTCATGGTATCGGAGCAGCAGCCGTTGACGACAACTGTGATGCCCCGTCCATCCAAAAAGCTAGCGATCCACTTGCAGAGTCCCTCAGGGATCCCGTAAGCTGGAAGCTTCGATAGAAGTGCCCTATGCCAGACCCTGTCGAAGGCCTTCGCGATGTCAAGGCTCACAGCGAGAGCCTCGCCCTTGCTTTCCAAGGCTTCAGCCCATTTATGTGTGAGGTATACAAGAAGATCGCCAGCTGAGCGACCATTACGGAAACCGTACTGCCGGTCACTGATCAGCTGGCGATCCTCAAGATACTTAAGAAGTTGGATGTTTATGATTCGCTCCATCACCTTGGAAAGCAAGGAAGTTATCGCGATAAGTCTGTAATTCGAGGGGTCCGACCGGTCACCCTTTTTGGGGATAGGGTGGACATGACCAGTCTTCCATGAAGACGAAACCCTGTTGGTATTGTACGAGAGGCGATATAGACGCGTTAGCGCGGGTGTCAATTCAGGGACGCATGTTTTTAGAACCACTGCGGGTATGCAATCCGGCCCACTCGACTTATGGACATCAAGAAGCCGAAGCTCCTGCCTGACCGCACGTTGTGTAATGCGAATCTCAGGAAAAGAGCTGTCACATCGCGAGATGTTGGGCGACGTGGCTCCCCCGTCATCCAAAGTCGAGTATGAGGCAAAGAGCTTGAGCAGAAGGTCAGCCTTCTCCTTCGCACAGCCAGACTGTAATTGGACTTACGCAGTGGTGGAAGACTAGACCTGCAGAAGTTACCTTCTGCAGCCTTAGCCAGTGAGTAGAAAGCACGGCTCCCAGAGGGATATTCAGTCGCTCGCCAATTCTGGCAACGTGCTTCGACTTCGCCTTGGCAATAGCCCTCTTATAGGACCTAGAGGCGGCATTAAATTTCCGCCTTTTCTCCGAGATATCAGGATCCCGGCATCTCCTAGCAACATTAAATGCCACGTATGCAGACCGCTTGAGGCGTGCAGCATCCCTGCTGGCTTTATTATACCAGGGTTTGCTGCGACCCCCAACGGGCACCTCAGAAGAAGGAATGAATAATTCCATTCCCTGAAGCACCACGTCTTTAAGTCGGTCCGCACAGACGTCAGGATCATCGGAGATTCAAGGTGGTGATGTACGGCGTCAAGGTTGCTGTGTAAACCCCTGACATTGCTGAAATTCACATTAAACGTGGAATGGGGATCCACCGAAAAAACTTTTTCTTTTGTCGACTTTCACATTCATTTTAGTTGGAGAGTAAGGATTTGGAGAGGTACGATGCTAGAGACGAGATCAAGGCAATACCTGAATAAAGCGCAGAGCACAATGAACACTCGATCCGGGGTTGCGCGAGAAGCTGACGCAGGGAATGGAAGGGCTTCCAGTCCACCCTGCATACGATCGCCGGTTTTGTGAAAAAGGTATCAAAACATCGGCACAAGTGTATCAAGATACCATTCTTGTGAAGGTAGTGAGGGTCTTCAGCTCTGATGAAGTCCGAAACGTTCGTTTCCAACCAAGACTGCGTAGACCGAGCTTTATGACCTGTCGCCGAGTCTTGCTGGAAGGACCATTCTTGATTATTGAACATGGTGTTGTTAAGGGGCTTCACTACTTTCTCAAGAATGGTATCTTGATACACTTGTGCCGATGTTTTGATACCTTTTTCACAAAAGTATGGCTCAGTCACTCCTTCATAGCTAATACCCCACCAAACCATCACTGAAGTCGGATAGTGCCCACGTTGCACTCTGTCGACTAATTGGGAAGCTTCCTTAGAGCTTTGAGCATAAATACGGTCATTTTGTTTGTTAAAATGTTGCTNGATACACTTGTGCCGATGTTTTGATACCTTTTTCACAAAAGTATGGCTCAGTCACTCCTTCATAGCTAATACCCCACCAAACCATCACTGAAGTCGGATAGTGCCCACGTTGCACTCTGTCGACTAATTGGGAAGCTTCCTTAGAGCTTTGAGCATAAATACGGTCATTTTGTTTGTTAAAATGTTGCTCAATTGTAAATTTTTCTCATCCGTAAACAAAATTTTTCTATGACCTCCCTTTGCGTACCGCTTCAGTAGTTGTTTCGATTTTATCACCCTATTTTCTTTTAAATTATCAGTTAAGAAATGACCAGTATGTCTCTTATAGGCTGCAAGTCTTAAGTCATCTTTTAAAATACGCGACATGGTTCTAGGTGCTATCTTCATCTCCCGAGATAAAATCTTTTGCTTTCGGACAGGATTTCTTCGAATTCTTTCCCTTACTGCTTTGACCACATTTTTCGTACGAACACTACGTGGACGGCCAGATCTTTTTCTTTCACAAACAGAGGAGGTCTCATTGCACCTATTAATAGCCCGGTACACAAACATTTTACTAATACCAAGCGTATGGAGAGTTTTAAAAATTGCATTTGGCTCCATACCTACTTTGTGTAATAATACACAGCGATTCAGTTCTATTTATCACCCCACTCCATTTTAATATCGCAAAATATTGTACAATGTATTGGCGCCAAAATGAGAAAACTCAATGAGTAATCATATAAAAATGACAGATTCCAAATTCAAATGTAATATTTTGATTATTTTTAATTGTAACAATTTATGGCCAGACTAAGTATAGTAGAATTATGTTGTCGCTGCAGTTTGGGTCATAAAAAATCGGAGCGGTGAAGCGAGTATTTCCCTCTCTCTTCCACTCACAAGCTTTATGGACGGGCATAGTGAAGCGCATTATTGTTGTCGATAAGCGTTATCGATAGTGTATTTAGTTTTGTCATTTTGTGGGTTAGTGATAAAAATGAAAGAAAAAATCACTAATCGAAGATTTACACCACATATCGCCGCAGCAAGTTAACGAGAACGGCAGAAATTAACACTTTGTAACTTTTCGGGATTTATTCTTATTTCAGTGAAAATTTTTAACACATTGTTGATAACAACACGTGAAAATATTATTTTGAATAAATTCTGCCGTTTCGATACAAAACAAATGAGTAGCCATTGTGTCACTAAAGAAATTCAGAGAACGAATGCATAAAAACACATTTCTCTTCGACATAATGTACTATAACTTGTAGGTAACTACAAATGACTCATAACATTCGTATACCACCCCGCCGCCGTGTACCTGCCTTCGATGACTCATTTGTTTTTATCGATAATGGCGTTGCGCCCGCGCAACATGCTCACCGCCCTAGCCGGGCTATGTTTTATGACCCAAACTGCAGCGACAAAATAATTCTACTATAGGTACTTCTATACTATAATAATAATATTATAAAGAGGAAAGATTTGTTTGTTTGTTTGTATTGAATAGGCTCCGAAACTACTAAACCGATTTGAAAAATTCTTTCACTGCTTGGAATCTACACTATTCCCGAGTGACAAAGGCTATAATTGTTTTTGAAAAAAATTAGGGATCCTTACTAAGACTGGTGGTAGGACCTCTTGTGAGTCCGCACGGGTGGGTACCACCACCCTGCCTATTTCTGCCGTGAAGCAGTAATGCGTTTCGGTTTGAAGGGTGGGGCAGCCGTTGTAACTATACTTGAGACCTTAGAACTTGTATCTCAAGGTGGGTGGCGCATTTACGTTGTGAATGTCTTTGGGCTCCAGTAACCACTTAACACCAGGTGGGCTGTGAGCTCGTCCACTCATCTAAGCAATAAGAAAAAATAAAAAAAGACTCCAATAATGTAACCCAAGGTGTAAAAAAAATACCTAAAGTATTCTTTACATCGCGTGCCCTGCGAAAACTATTGATGATAGAATAAAATAATGTACTACGACTTTGTAGAACACATTATTTTTTACAAAAAGTGTAACTGTACCGTCTTGAGATACATAAGAGAGTTTCTTATGGTAATAAAACTCCAGCACTTCATATTATTTTTATAACATTTAAATTGAGAGATGTACAGCGTGCTTGAAGAGCGGGTAGTGAATGAATGATAGCGAAATACAATATGTTACTATATAGTTACTATACTGTGATGCTTAGCGCCTTAGAAGGCTAGCATCTTTGACATTGCTATAAAAGAATTGAAGGCACTAGCCTGAACACTAAAAAAACACATTTTGTTTGTGAATTAACTGTGTGCTTAGTGCTAGTTTTTTAACCTTCTCAATGGCGTAAAAGTTAACTCAATTTTGTATGCAGGTGGAACAGCGCCCCTAGTCGCAAACGTAGACAAACGTTTAGCTCCATACAAATTTGAGTTAAGTTTTACGCTATCGAGAACGTAAAATTAAGAAACTCGCACTAAGCACACTGATTAAAAAATGTCTGAGTCAAAATTAGACAAGCTTTTCAGTGTTGCCTACATCGATTTATGCATGCGTGATTTAATATTTTAATGTTTGTTTGCATTGAAAACAACACACAGTGCAATTTTAATCAGAAATCGATTTTGTTACCTTTGAAGGCATACACCATCGACTTAATGGTTACCGATGTTCAATTAAAAAAAAAAAAAGAACCAGTATTGCCAGGGCACGGCTGGTTTGATACCTACTGCTTAGAATTAATTAATTTTTAAATATATATCGAATTCGAAACTCATGCTTGTCAAAAAATAGACAGAGTCTACACAAATACATGTACAAAATGTATATCGGCATCCGTTGTTTATTAAACCATTACAAATTAAATTAAGACAAATGTACATCACATATAATTAATTGGCTATTTACCTCGATCATAAACACTTTGTTTGTCCGCTGGTACGGTTTCATACCATAAATTTAACTGAACACACAATTCTGATGTAAATTAACTTCTCAATTTTATTTTGGTTGAATTTTTTGTTTGTCCATTTTGTAGTGTTTTTTTTTATAATTTAATTTTGTAAAATATTGTTACTTCATCATAATAATATGTATTTTTAATGACTAATGGATTTTTTGTGAATTTTTGACAACGTTCGAACCTGACATTCCGTATGTTATCAACATACTAAAAAGGCGTACAATAGATATGGAGAAAAGTAGGTATTATAATCACTATTAATACAAACTGAGCTCATAGGGAGACGTGTATGATGAGCTGGTTGAGCCTTTGCTCGCCTACCTATCGTGGTGAAACTGGAAAGCCATACGGGTCATCAGTAATCCTTCTTTCGCAAAATATATATATATATATATGTCGTGGATAACGACTTTTAGTTGTCGTGGATAACGACTTTAGTAATATTAAGACGGTGGTTTTGATTATTATTTTAAATGATGAAATGTTGTTTTGATAAATATCACAAAACGAAGGGTAGACTCCGTAACGCCACAGTATAAAATGGCGGTACGTGGACAGAGTCGTGGCATTCCGTGTCAGACAGTAANTAGTGATAAAAATGAAAGAAAAAATCACTAATCGAACATTTACACCACATATCGCCGCAGCAAGTTAACGAGAACGGCAGAAATTAACACTTTGTAACTTTTTGGGATTTATTCTTATTTCAGTGAAAATTTTTAACACATTGTTGATAACAATACGTGAAAATATTATTTTGAATAAATTCTGTGGTTTCGATACAAAACAAATGAGGAGCCATTGTGTCACTAAAGAAATTCAGAGAACGAATGCATAAAACACATTTCTCTTCGACATAATGTACTATAACTTGTAGGTAACTACAAATGACTCATAACATTCGTATACCACCCCGCCGCCGTGTACCTGCCTTCGATGACTCATTTGTTTTTATCGATAATGGCGTTGCGCCCGCGCAACATGCTCACCGCCCTAGCCGGGCTATGTTTTATGACCCAAACTGCAGCGACAAAATAATTCTACTATAGGTACTTCTATACTATAATAATAATATTATAAAGAGGAAAGATTTGTTTGTTTGTTTGTATTGAATAGGCTCCGAAACTACTAAACCGATTTGAAAAATTCTTTCACTGCTTGGAATCTACACTATTCCCGAGTGACAAAGGCTATAATTGTTTTTGAAAAAAATTAGGGATCCTTACTAAGACTGGTGGTAGGACCTCTTGTGAGTCCGCACGGGTGGGTACCACCACCCTGCCTATTTCTGCCGTGAAGCAGTAATGCGTTTCGGTTTGAAGGGTGGGGCAGCCGTTGTAACTATACTTGAGACCTTAGAACTTGTATCTCAAGGTGGGTGGCGCATTTACGTTGTGAATGTCTTTGGGCTCCAGTAACCACTTAACACCAGGTGGGCTGTGAGCTCGTCCACTCATCTAAGCAATAAGAAAAAATAAAAAAAGACTCCAATAATGTAACCCAAGGTGTAAAAAAAATACCTAAAGTATTCTTTACATCGCGTGCCCTGCGAAAACTATTGATGATAGAATAAAATAATGTACTACGACTTTGTAGAACACATTATTTTTTACAAAAAGTGTAACTGTACCGTCTTGAGATACATAAGAGAGTTTCTTATGGTAATAAAACTCCAGCACTTCATATTATTTTTATAACATTTAAATTGAGAGATGTACAGCGTGCTTGAAGAGCGGGTAGTGAATGAATGATAGCGAAATACAATATGTTACTATATAGTTACTATACTGTGATGCTTAGCGCCTTAGAAGGCTAGCATCTTTGATATTGCTATAAAAGAATTGAAGGCACTAGCCTGAACACTAAAAAAACACATTTTGTTTGTGAATTAACTGTGTGCTTAGTGCTAGTTTTTTAACCTTCTCAATGGCGTAAAAGTTAACTCAATTTTGTATGCAGGTGGAACAGCGCCCCTAGTCGCAAACGTAGACAAACGTTTAGCTCCATACAAATTTGAGTTAAGTTTTACGCTATCGAGAACGTAAAATTAAGAAACTCGCACTACGCACACTGATTAAAAGATGTCTGAGCCAAAATTAGACAAGCTTTTCAGTGTTGCCTACATCGATTTATGCATGCTTGATTTAATATTTTAATGTTTGTTTGCATTGAAAACAACACACAGTACAATTTTAATCAGAAATCGATTTTGTTACCTTTGAAGGCATACACCATCGACTTAATGGTTACCGATGTTCAATTAAAAAAAAAAAAGAACCAGTATTGCCAGGGCACGGCTGGTTTGATGCCTACTGCTTAGAATTAATTAATTATTAAATAGATATCGAATTCGAAACTCATGCTTGTCAAAAAATAGACAGAGTCTACACAAATACATGTACAAAATGTATATCGGCATCCGTTGTTTATTAAACCATTACAAATTAAATTAAGACAAATGTACATCACATATAATTAATTGGCTATTTACCTCGATCATAAACACTTTGTTTGTCCGCTGGTACGGTTTCATACCATAAATTTAACTGAACACACAATTCTGATGTAAATTAACTTCTCAATTTTATTTTGGTTGAATTTTTTGTTTGTCCATTTTGTAGTGTTTTTTTTATAATTTAATTTTGTAAAATATTGTTACTTCATCATAATAATATGTATTTTTAATGACTAATGGATTTTTTGTGAATTTTTGACAACGTTCGAACCTGACATTCCGTATGTTATCAACATACTAAAAAGGCGTACAATAGATATGGAGAAAAGTAGGTATTATAATCACTATTAATACAAACTGAGCTCATAGGGAGACGTGTATGATGAGCTGGTTGAGCCTTTGCTCGCCTACCTATCGTGGTGAAACTGGAAAGCCATACGGGTCATCAGTAATCCTTCTTTCGCAAAATATATATATATATATATATCTATACTGAGTATACCTAGTCAGGTCATAAGTATTGTCACACAGTAAAAACTTTTCTTTTAGAATGCTGGCCACAAAAAAGTTTATTGAATTCGAATTTCGAATTGTTCATGAAAATAAAAATGTATACTTTTAGAATTTTACTCATTTTTAAATATGGAGTGGACGCTTAAAGAAGACCGTGTTGCAGTTATTGCGTTGCATCGTTGCGGTTACGCGCCAATTCAAATTTTTAACATACTGAAAAATTTGAATATAACCAAAAGATTCGTTTATCGTACCATCAAACGATACAATGAAGACTCTAGTGTAGATGACAGGTCAAGAAGTGGTCGCCCTCGGTCTGTTAGGACTCCAGCAGTGATAAAAGCTGTGAAGGCGCGAATTCAAAGAAATCCCAAACGTAAGCAGAAACTGTTGGCCCTTCAGATGGGGTTAAGCAGAACCACGGTGAAAAGGGTGTTAAATGAAGACTTAGGGCTTCGGGCATATCGAAGAAAAACAGGACATCGTTTGAATGCTCGTCTAATGGACCTGAGACTGAAGAGATGCCGCGCTTTGTTGAAGCGGTACGCGGGAAAAAAATATCGGGAAATTCTTTTTTCGGATGAAAAAATTTTTACCGTAGAAGAGAGCTACAACAAACAAAATGATAAGGTGTACGCACACAGTAGTGAAGAAGCGAGCAACCGTATTCCGCGTGTCCAACGAGGTCATTTTCCATCCTCGCTCATGGTATGGTTGGGAGTTTCTTATTGGGGCTTAACAGAGGTACATTTTTGTGAGAAAGGTGTAAAAACGAATGCAGTTGTGTATCAAAATACAGTCCTGACGAACCTTGTGGAACCTGTTTCTCATACCATGTTCAATAACAGGCACTGGGTATTCCAACAAGATTCGGCGCCAGCTCATAGAGCGAAGAGCACACAAGACTGGCTGGCGGCGCGTGAAATCGACTTCATCCGGCACGAAGACTGGCCCTCCTCCAGTCCAGATTTGAATCCGTTAGATTACAAGATATGGCAACACTTGGAGGAAAAGGCGTGCTCAAAGCCTCATCCCAATTTGGAGTCACTCAAGACATCCTTGATTAAGGCAGCCGCCGATATTGACATGGACCTCGTTCGTGCTGCGACAGACGACTGGCCGTGCAGATTGAAGGCCTGTATTCAAAATCACGGAGGTCATTTTGAATAAACTTTACTGTCATAAGAATCTATGTTTTGTTAAGTTCATTTTGGTATATGAATGGTTACATAATGAATAAACTTGTTTCAATTATTTTACATTAAACATGTGACAGAATTTATGACCTGACTAGGTATATTGTTTTGTTACGACGGCTATCTCGCCCTTCAAATTGATGTGTAACGAGGAATAGTAATCGCTAATTTTTACTGGAAGTCTATATTTTTGTTTCATACTCTGGTTTATGCCATAGTTGTCGGCTTGATGTGCTGGTTTGTGGCCGGAGCTACAAAACGTTTTCTTTAAAGATTATATTGTCTATTTGTCGCTTTAATGACCTTAAATATATTATTTGTTGAGTGGTGTACTCTCTCGATCGTCAAGACCTCGTTTGTTATTCCGCGGTTGTGGCCACGGATATTGATAAACAATCCTTTACGCAAGATGACTCTCTGACTACACGCTGTTAGGTATATGTGTTACGGTAAAAGTAGATATTGCGGCAAATGTACGCATTTTCCGGTGAATGTGCACATTTGCTTCCTCGTTTGGGTAATGTGCATTCAACTAACATTTACAATTTCAAAGAAGTGAAATGTGCATTGACTTCACAATGACCATGTCGTTTTGGTAAATGTGAGCATGGCATACAAAATACGAAATCGCATGTGCCAGTAATGTAGTGCGCATGCGCACCACTACAACCTAACCTACTTCTTTATATAATATGCAAAGAGAAGTATGTTTTGTTTGTCATTTACTTTTTTTTTTTTTAATAATTTTCGTTATAAGAGCTTTATGTATTATGTTTATTTAAATAAATATTTTTTACTGCAACAACATTATCGTATTCCAACTTTTCTTAAAACATGAAAGTAAGAGTATATATACATTTACCAAAACGTGAAGGCAAGAGTACAAATTTGCCGGGAAATGTACATATACATTTATATTCAGTTCACATATACCTAACTTTTTGGCAAATGTGCACATATAAGGTAAAAGTGTACATTTCTCAAGAGTAAATCAAACCCGTAATTTGCATAATTACCGGTGTTAGGACCTCTTGTGAGTCCGCACGGGTAGGTACCACCACCCCGCCTATTTCTGCCTTGAAGCAGTAATGCGTTTCGGTTTGAAGGGTGGGGCAGCCGTTGTAACTATACTGAGACTCTAGAACTCATATATACATTTACCGTAACATATGTATTATCGCTTGTGTTATCGAGCAGGTCAATTAACTACTTACAATCAGAAGTTGCGACGACGCAAATAGAAAATCAAACGTGCTTTAAAAGTTTATTATTTATTTTATTTTATTTTATTTTTTTATTGCTTNTTCGGTTTGAAGGGTGGGGCAGCCGTTGTAACTATACTGAGACTCTAGAACTCATATATACATTTACCGTAACATATGTATTATCGCTTGTGTTATCGAGCAGGTCAATTAACTACTTACAATCAGAAGTTGCGACGACGCAAATAGAAAATCAAACGTGCTTTAAAAGTTTATTATTTATTTTATTTTATTTTATTTTATTTTTTTATTGCTTTTATGGGTGGAAGAGCTCACAGCCCACCTGATGTTAAGTGGTTACTGGAACCCATAGACATCTACAACGTAAATGCGCCACCCACTATTTATTATTTATTTATTTATCTTTAGATTGAAACTTTATTCATAGTAAATTTATACTATGAGAAAATGTCATGTCATTGACAAAATATGAATATATACATAGAGTATTATCTTGATTAATTAAATTTAAAAATAACGAAAAATTCACCAGAAAAGTCTTAAGCTCCGACTTCCTCCTTTTTTATTTATTTAAAGCCGATAATAATATACAATTTTAACAAAAACGAAAACCAGCTTGTAACAAAGAAATTAAGAATATCATCAATTTAATTTAAGTCAGTTAAACATGGATTGTTAAGAATTACTTGAGAAGTACTAGTCAGATTTTGATAAAATTTAAATGGGACCACATATAAACTCCGAATTGACCAACCGAACCGACTTCTGCACTGAAGTCGTCGTGGCCTAAAGGATAAGACGTCCGGTGCATTCGTATCTAGCGATACAGCGGTGTTCGAATCCCGCAGGCGGGTACCAATTTTTCGCTGTGACGGAATAACATTATGTAATAAAAACCAAACCCGCAAAATTATAATTTGCGTAATTACTGGTGGTCGGACCTCTTGTGAGTCCGCACGAGTAGGTACGACCGCCCTGCCTATTTCTGCCGTGAAGCAGTAATGCGTTTGAACTTATATCTCAAGGTGGGTGGCGCATTTACGTTGTAGATGTCTAAGGGCTCCAGTAACCACTTAACACCAGGTGGGCTGTGAGCTCGTCTACCTATATAAGCAATTAAAAGTGGTGTTCTCAATCCGACTGTTTTGAATGTGTATTTAATATTCATCATGATTAATACAGATGCCATATATTTTTTGGATATTTTTTTTCCCACTTGAAATTCTGATCGGTACATAGTCTTTGAGTTATCCTTATTACTGCATATTTAATAGTCTTCGATTACATTGATTAATGACATCGATTACATGTCTTTTTTTTTAATATTTTTAATATTATTTAATTCTGTTAGTCTCTAATTCCTGTAGTACAGGGAATCCTAGTTTGGAACCAGATGAACATGTGTGATTTGTCCTCGGTTATTTTTCAATTTTTTATTAAATCTAACTTTTCCCTGAAGTCACCCGCCTGTTTATTTCACTTTAATTCTATGGGAATTATATTTCTTTGTATGTTTGTCTTGTATACGTTTTATATACGTTTAAAATATTCATCTGGATGTGATGAAACTCAGTGCTTTTGTTGTTGGCATTCCAGGGTACTTTTGTGTCATAATATCACACGTATGATAAGTGGCACGCAAGTACTGGCAAGAAATGATTGTTTTTCACACAATTAGCGATAGTCGAAGAGCGAAGCAATACCGTGTTCCACTGGTCGTAATTATAGCACGCCATTTCGCATCGTTCCAATCCACTATTGGTGCTTTTAGGTACCACAAGCACCGGTCACCGTTTTCGCTGAACCCGTCGCTTGCGATGCAGGGCTCGGCGAGTAAATTAACCCACACAGACACAGCCCAGTGAGTTTCTCGCCGGATCTTCTCAGTGGGTCGCGTTTCCGATCCGGTGGTAGATTCTGCGAAGCACTGCTCTTGCTAGGGCTAGTGTTAGCAACGTCCCCAGGGTAGAGCCCCGTGAGCTCACCTACTCGTCCGGTTACGCTGGCATAGCCCGCTAAGGATACCAGCTTAGATAGGAAAAAAAAAATTTATAAAAAAGCTTTATAATATGTTTGCGTGTATGTAGAATAATTAATTTAATCTTGTGTGATGATATCGTCTTTTATTCATTTTAATACACATTTATGTTTATCAGTAAGCTGCAAAGAGCGATCCAAAGAAGACGCCTATAAATAACAAAATGTTCGTTTACTTGATATTTATCGCTTCGTTTTTCTTATTAATTCATTTAGCTTTCAATTATAATTCGAAAGCTGTGATGATGAATAAAGTTCCTGGTCCAAAGTTGTCGTTCATTCTCGGGAATGCACCAGAGATAATGATGTTGTCATCAGGTAAATTATTTTCAATTTTATTAACTGTGAAGAGATAACGATTTAAAACTTAAAATACAAAATGCACCTATATTAAAACACAGAGTAGTGAACCTTCATTTTAATCAGTAGCAGACCTTGTATAGACATTATAAAAATAATAATATTGATAGTAATGGTACACATGGTGGTTAATGGTACAAAAGTGTTAAGAACAAAGAAAAATAAACGACAGTATACTTATGCTCCTTCTGAGTTTCGGTTCGTATTGAGGTACTGTACTGGGGTTCGTACTGGACACTCCGAAGTGATGCTCCTTTGACCGACATGTGAACCGTCGCGGCGGTTCGCCCGGTCCTCGGTGACTGGATGATTCGCGGCTGCGGATGTCTCATCTTCCGGCTGGCGTAGGTGCTGACCGAGTAGTCATTTCGGGAAGTACTTCCACCTGATCGGAGCTGAGTCGACGGCAGATTGCCATCACTGTGAATGTAACTTTGACACAGCGAGGCCTACGCTCGCGGATTAAGCTACACGAGAGGTGTCCTCATCGTACAAATAGCTAAAGACTTGTCGCTACCGAGCAACATGGGTGCGATGCTCAGCAAGGACGAGTTGTGGCGCGCGATGTTCCTCTTCTGCAAATGCAAAGCAGCCGGTGCGACGCGAGAGAGAGCAATATTTTTTCTTCGCACTAAATCCATAGCCGCCGAACTAGGCTTCAGGATAAGGACCTCGACTGAATTCTGGGCTCCTAAGCATTTCTGGTCTAGCGCCGTCTTGGCGGTCTTCGGATAGCCCATCGATCAACAGGCCTGGCGGTCGTGGCGCCGACGGCCACGGGTTCAACGTCCATGAGCAAGGTAATGCAGAGATATTCGATTCCCGCGAAATCCGTTCCCTTGCCCCTAGCATGCCTCTTCTCATCTTCGAAGCGGATGGTTGAGTAATAGGGAATTTTAGTCGGTTCAACTGCGACAAAACCCACCTACCACTTCCAATGTGTTGGCGGTAGAGCGCTGACTTTTTCCCGACTTAAAAAAAAACCTATAATAGTTTTACTTAATATCATATCACAGAGTAGCATTAGGGAATTGCATAAAATCTAGTGCAGAAAAATCTCATTCTCAGCATAATTAAATTTATCGATCCATTCAAATTTTCCAGTAGATTTCCATTATTCATGGTAATTTCCTAGTTTTGCCGTAAATATTTAAACAAAGAAATCATCGTTCTTTGTTATTAGCACAGTGCGTTAGTTCACACATTAAAATATATTATATCCTATTTTTAAAACATGAAATTCACTCAAATTATTTCTTGTTTTGAATACAATAATTTAAGTAAGCGTTGTGTCTAGTTTACGACAGATCAAACGTTTAATCGATATTTCATAAATCTAGTGATTGGATTATTGCTTTAATTTAATAAAGATCAATATAAATAATTCTTAAATTCAGTTGCTAGTGCACTTTATATTTTCGGAACAGCTGATTATTGCTTTATTGGCCAAAACTCAGCAGAACACAACATGACATTTAAGGGTTACACTATGCGTGCTTAACATTCTAATACTATCTTAGAATTCGAACTTTGAGCATGCATCATCATCGTCAGCCTGTATCTCTCCACTGCTGGATGTAGGCCTCTCTCATAGTCCACCACAATGAACGATCCTCCGCCTTCCGCATCCAATCTGTCCCAGCATATCGCCGCAAGTCATCGGTCCAACGGGCAGGGGGACACCCAACGCTGCGCTTACCGGTACGCGGTCTCCAGTCCAGAGCACGTCTGCTCCATCGGCCATCGGTTCTGCGACACCTATGTCTGGCCCATTACCACTTCAGCTTGCTAATCTTTAGGGCTATGTCGGTTTATTACTTTGGTTCTTTGACGGATTTCATCATGTCTGACTCGATCCATCAAAGAAACTCCGAGCATACACCTTTGCATAGCACGCTGAGCGACTTTGAACTTATGGACCAGACCTACGGTCAATGTCCACGTTTCAGCGCCATATGTCATGACCGGCAATACACAAGCTTTGAAGACTTTTGTCTTTAGGCATTGCGGGATTGCTGAGTTTAAGATATGACGAAGTTTCCCATACGCAGCCCAGCCCAACTGTATGCGCCTCAAAATTTCAGTAATAATATTAAAAATTTTGATAACAGCAATACAAAAGAATTTAATTATATTTTTTTTATTATATGGATTTTGCAAATTAAACCAAGGCCGTAATATTCCAACTGGTTTCTCTTTACAGGATACACAAGTCAGGTCTGGGAAAAAATATAAATTTATTAGTAATTGTGTAATTTTTGCATATTTTCATGTGTTATTTTTAATGAATAATGCTGTTTCATCGTTAATTTGAAAGAAACAATCTGTACCTGCGTGTGGGATTTAACTTTGGCATAGTTGCATTTCATAAGAGTTCACAGAACCACAGAACGAATGACGGAATCTTGTAACAAACAGCCGCCGTCGCCCTAGACATGCTATTTCAGATCCACCCGATTCCAAGCACCACTCAATTTTCTCGTCATTCACGTCTAATTCGGTGAAGAGTTTGAAGTTCAATTCAACCCACAGATGCAATCCACCGAGTTTCCCGTCGGAACTTTTCAGTGGATAGCAACTGCGAATTCGACTGTAAATTCAACGAAGCACTGCTCTTGCTAGGACAGATGTTAGCAAAACCTCTCAGGCTGGTTCTCGTGATATCTTCCACCAACCAAGAGGCTACTATTCATGCCATAGATTATACTATTCATGCCATGCTATAGGTAGTACTTGAATAATAAATAAATAAATACACTTAAATTTTTATGACTCACGTTATCAGATTGTACCAATTTTTGTAGTCATGTCAATGTCCGATTGCTCCATGAATCGCGAAGCATAGATAAAAACGACGGTAGATATTGTATACATTCACTTTTGTTCATTTCGAAAACTTATTATGAACTCAACATAGTAATTGTGTTGATAGTGTATTTTGGAATAATTTATCGAAGACCGTGATCTTGATGCCCTCAAAGACGCTTCCGCGGATTTATTTAGTTTTAGTGAAGTAAAGCTTATTGACGGCGCGCGGTTTACGAATAAGTCTGTTTTAAATTATTGTAACACATTGCATACGTTTTCTATTGAGGGTAGGGAATGTTGTAAGCCCGCACGGGTGGCTACTAACGTCCTACCTATTTAAGCTGCGAAGTCTTTCGTGTTCGCCTTAAGTGTAGGACCTCATGTATCGGGAAGGTCAGATGCACTTGATGGGTGAAATAAATTGAGACATTAAGTCAAACTTTTCAATTTATTGTATACAGCCATTCAAAGCCAAAAAAGTATGACTGCTTTAGATTTACAATAAACAGAAAGAAGGTATATATTCCGTACGGGATCACATTAAGCCACATAAATATTATCTAATTTTACAACAAAAAAAGTGTGCGTGCAACTTGATGCACGTAAAAGAAGTGAAACTTCTTGTGCGGTGTGTAATCGGTGGTTGGTAATTTGATTTTCGTCATGAACGTGAACGAATCACCATAGTAAATAAAATAAAAACAAAGACAGACGTCTTAACTTTCATATGCCATTCATATGAACTTCAATTCATAATTACTTATGAATTAATTACCAACCTCGAATAGTCTACAGACTGCAAAAGCTTGTATATTTATATTGTACTAGCTGTACCCGTCCGCTTCGCTGGGCATTTAAAATTAGCATTATTATTTATTGTCATTATTATTAGGGAGTCTAACAGTCATATAAATATTAGCCTATCCATTAAGTACATGTATTTTCTACATGGATACCAAGTTTCAAGTCAATCGGATGCACGGTTCAGTAGTTATAATGGAACATCCGTAAAAACCACTGTAGATTTATATATTATATTTTTTTATATTGATGGTACATTTTATCTGCTGGCACACAGAGAAATTGTAATAAGTAGTTTTAATTCTGAATTAATTTAAGTTCTTTTTCAAAATGAGATAGGCATGCAAGAAGCAAGCACTCAGTTGGATACTTTAATATATTTTTTTCGTTATTTAACTCTTTATAACACAAGCATATATATAATTAACTTGTAATATATCGTTACATTTTATTCGCAGTTGAGTTAATGAAACTGGCCAGGAAATTCGCAAGTCGCTGGGATGGAATATATAGGATTTGGGCGTTTCCTTTGTCCATTATAAATATATACAATCCGGATGACGTAGAGGTAGGTATACGCAATCAGTTGTTATGTTTAAGAATTTATTTTTAAAACGTATAAGACATATCTATCGCAAAATATGAGACGTGACAAGGTTACTTTAAAAGTTCAGTGTCAACTTTGTTTGTTCTAAACGGGTAGATGTGCTATTTGTTGGCTCACGGAGTCTTCGTTTTTTTTTTCTTACATTTTTTTTATTGTTTAGATGGATGGACGAGCTCACAGCGCACCTGGTGTTAAGTGGTTACTGGAGCCCATAGACATCTACAACGGAAATGCGCCACCCACCTTGAGATATAAGTTCTAAGATCTCAGTATAGTTACAACAATCTACTATATAGTCACAACAATCTACTAGTAACCTCAAGGGGTTATACTAGATTCGCAGAACGAGTAGGTAAGTTCACGGGGTTCTTAACTGATGTTGCTAACGCTAGCTAGCCCTAGCTAGGGCAGTGCTTCGCAGAATTTGCCACCGACTCGGATAGGCGAGTCACTGAGAAGATCCGGCGAGAAACTCAGTAAGTAGGCTGTGTCTGTGTCTTAATTTACTCACCGAACCCTTTGTCGTCAGCGACGGGTTCGACGAGAACGGTAACCGGTGCTTGAGGTACCTAAAAGCACCGTTAGTGGATCGGGAGGATCCGAAATGACGTGTCCTAGTCGTAACCCATGCACATCACATCGTTAAGGTCCCCATCGTTAGACATGAGGCCGAAGTCTCAATTACACTGTATATTAGTTCTTCCACCAATTAAGCCCGAGCCAATGACCGTTTTGTACATCCCACTAGTTATTTCCCAAGTTACAACTATTGCAGGTTTGATGTTTTTGACACGATGTTATTCTTTAATCGTGAAAGTAATTCGTGTAAATGTTATCAGTGTTTCACGCCAGGCGCTTAGTTTTTTAGTCTATGAATCATTTAGAGTGAACCAACGTGTCAATTTGAATGTTTCTCGTTTTCTTTTTTATAGGTGATAGTTTCGACCACAAAACACAACGAAAAGAGTTCTGTGTATAAATTTTTGAAGCCGTGGCTTGGGGATGGATTGCTAATAAGTAAAGGTAAATTGTTACATAAATAACTCATTCGTCTGATTAAGACTAAACGATTGGTGAGTATCGAATACATAAAGAATATATCTAATTCGGCCACGGATTTCCAATTAGAGGTGACGTTATCGACGATCTTATATTAAATTTTTTTTAATAACATACTCCAATGTTCGCAGTGCTTATCGAAACACTGTTACCAACTTTGATTTAAAAAATATACCAAATTTGTCTTAATTTCCAGGAGAAAAATGGCAGCAAAGAAGAAAAATCCTTACGCCTGCTTTCCACTTCAATATCTTGCGACAGTTCAGTGTCATAATTGAAGAAAATTCTCAACGTTTGGTGGAATCATTGGAGAAATGCATCGGAAAACCTATAGACATAGTACCTGTAGTATCAGAGTATACACTGAATTCCATTTGTGGTTAGTTTATTATTGATCGCTTTCAAAAAAAATTACCCGTGAATAAAAAAATTGGTATTTTAATNGCTTTCCACTTCAATATCTTGCGACAGTTCAGTGTCATAATTGAAGAAAATTCTCAACGTTTGGTGGAATCATTGGAGAAATGCATCGGAAAACCTATAGACATAGTACCTGTAGTATCAGAGTATACACTGAATTCCATTTGTGGTTAGTTTATTATTGATCGCTTTCAAAAAAAATTACCCGTGAATAAAAAAATTGGTATTTTAATAATGCTTCATTAGGTATCGTTTATCGAAAATGTACTCATCGTTCAGTACAATCAGTATTAGTTATTATGACCCAAGGCCGTCCATAATCGTTACGCAATTGCTATTTTAGAGAAATAACGACCTGGGAGCGTGTATTTTAGTTCGTATAAATTCAAATTCAAATTCAAATTCAAAATCATTTATTTCAACTTAGATGTCAGTATGACACACTTGTTGAATGTCAAAATACAAATAACAATGTTAACTCTACCACCGGTTCCAAAAAAAGCCACAGTCCTGAGAAGAACCGGCGAAACAAACTCAGCGGGCTTTTTTTTTTTGTTTTTTCTCATGTATTTTCTTTTTTTTAAATAAATAGAAATATTCACAATAAAAGAAAAAACAAGTCAAAAAAAATACAATTAAAAAAATAATAATAATAATGAAAAATGAAAAGGCCAGGAGCGAGTATAAAAACAGTTTGTCTATTGCATAACATTCCCTATTTTACGTATTAGGAATAAATTATTCCAGCAGGTCAATCTATCTAGTGGTTATTGTTTTCGGTTGATTCACATATTATTTTCGATCGCATATTAGAATATCGTATCGTGAAAATCGTTTCTCGCTCAAACAGATTTTTTGAAGTTGTACATTGAAGCATGTACAATATGTACTTAGGGACAATAGCTGCTGCACCACGGAGATCAGGTTAGAATTCCGGTTGGTATCTTTGTTAAGGAAATTAGGTATTCGAGGTTTGGGTGTACAGGTTTTTCTGCCTGCTGAGTTTGTTTTGCCGGCTCTTCTCAGGACTGTGGCGTTAATTTGGAACCGGTGGTAGACTTAACATTGTTATTTATATTTTGACATTCAACAAGCGTGTTATGCTGACATCTAAGTTGAAATAAATTATTTTGGATTTGAATTTGAATTCTCTATTATGTGTTTCCGGCATACATCAAATGGGAAAGCTCTAGCTTCTAGTCGCTAAATGTGAAACACATAATATGTATTTGTTTTTAACTGGAATGCATTACTGATGCTCTTGAAATGCAGTCTACGCAGTGACCGTATATTTTGTACATTCAGTTCTCTTCTAACGCTTGCAATAGAAACAAATAAACAAAATAAACCTGTAAAATTAATGGGTTACCATGAAAATCAATGGAACCTATCTTGTCTATTAGTGTCAGATGGAAACGTAAATATAAAATGTTATGTATTTTCTATTACATTCTTTTCCCAGAGACCTCAATGGGCACTCAACTAAGCGACAAAACAGAAGATGCGTGGAAGGCATACAAGGACGCCATATATGAGCTCGGACCGTACTTCTTTCAAAGATTTACTAGGGTTTATTTATATTTTGACATTATCTTCTATTTAACATCTTTATGGAGAAAAATGAAAAAACCTTTAAAGTCACTCCACGGATTTACTTCTACCGTTATAAAAGAAAGGAAAATTTACGTTGAACAAAATGGTGTTAAATTCGGCGAGGACGTCAACGATGATGACCTTTACATATACAAAAAGAGGAGAAAAACTGCCATGCTGGATTTACTGATAGCTGCGCAAAAAGACGGAGAGATCGACGATCACGGAATACAGGAAGAAGTGGACACTTTTATGTTCGAAGTTAGAATCGTTATGTCATTACGCAAATATTCGCATAAATATTTTCATTTATTGGCCTAATTGCATCCATCTGGTGCAAAGCAATTACCAGAGATCATAGGTACAATCGTTGCAAAGCTTTTAAATCGGAAGCCGTGATAGCTTCGCAATTGTAATAGAAATTTATAGTTACTCCTTACGAGACTGTAAACATGCCAATCACCTTGTTTTTATCGGGTTTAATTCTTATTACACGATGTTATTGATGCATCGAGGAATGCATTCGTAAACACATGATTACATGACTAAGAATACATCGAATAATCTGAACTAGTGGTCTCGCAGTAGTCGAAATTCGATTATAATTCTTCGACTATATTTCTTTATTATACTTTAATCTATTCTCGATTTGACCACAGACGTCAAGAACAAGTTTGACAATAAATAAATAGTATGCATGCGTGTGTCCGTCAAATACATGGTAGTGTGTGTAATGTTTTCTTTATTGATTTAATGTATTTTTTAGGCATAATTTAAAAAAATATTAACATTCTGCACCCCTTCTCTATATTCTCTTTAAGTGTGGGAAATTTCATACTCCTTCGTCCGCGCAATTTTCGTAAAAAGGGATACAAAATTTTTCCTTCACGTATTAATATATAGATGACAATAGAGACAAACTTCAAAAGACATTACAAAAATATATAATTACTTTGATTATTTCAGGGTCACGATACCACTGCGTCTGGATTGACATTTTGTTTTATGCTACTCGCCAATCACAGAGCAGTTCAGGTACGTATTTTGTAACATTTCTAATTTTAATAATAAGATTATAGTGTTTTAATCTGCATTTATTTATTCGATGTTTTAGTTATTATGAAATTCACAGTAAATTTTTGTTTTGTTGTTTATGCTGTTATCTGAATATCAAATGCAACTCGACAATTAAAAAAAGTTCAGTTTGGAACTATGCACATATAAACAAATCATTTCCTATATTTTTTTAATGAATGTAATTCATAATTTTCGTATTATTATTACAATAGTTAATAATTAATCATTCATAACCGTTGTAAGTGAGTAGTAATGTTTTTTTTTTATTGCTTAGATGGGTGGACGAGCTCACGGCCCACCTGGTTAAGTGGTTACTGGAGCCCATAGAAATCTACGACGTAAATGCGCCACCCACCTTGAGATATAAGTTCTACGGTCTCAAGTATAGTTACAACGGCTGCCCCACTCTTCAAACCGAAACGCATTACTGCTTCACGGCAGAATAGGCAAAGCGGTGGTACCTACCCGCGCGGACTCACAAGAGGTCCTACCACCAGTAAGTAAATTATATAATAATTATGTAAGTAAATTATATAATAATTATGTCACATATTATTACATCAAAGCAATCTAAAACACTACATTTGTAATTACACTTCGCCGTTTATAATTAAATACTCGAGATCAATTAATCATTGAATTGATTATAGTAAATTCGCATTTCCGTGAACTTAAATAAAATCAAATTACCTACTACTGACAAGTTTTATTATTACAGGATAAGATTGTGGAAGAAATAAATGATATTATGGGAGATTCAACTCGACGCGCGAACTTGGAGGACTTGTCCAAAATGAAGTACTTGGAATGTTGCATTAAGGAGTCTTTAAGACTATATCCACCTGTGCATTTTATTAGCCGTAACTTAAACGAGCCTGTTGTTTTAAGTATGTATACATGTTAATAAATATTCATAAATACTCCTCCCGATCCACTAATGGTGCTTTTAGGTACCTCAAGCACCGGTCACCGTAAATTAACGCTCAGACACAGCCCACTGAGTTTCTCGCCGGATCTTCTCAGTGGGTCGCGTTTCCGATCCGGTGGTAGATTCTGCGAAGCACGGCTCTTGCTAGGGTTCGCGTTGGCAACGTCGTCAGGTTTGAGCCCCGTGAGCTCACCTACTAGTTAAGGTTCCGCTGATATAGCCTCTCAAGGCTATCAACTTAGGTAGGAAAAAAAATCATAAACATAATAATAAAGTCGCCGTGGTCTAAGGAATAAGACGCTCAATGTAATCGTATCCAGATTTTATAACGGGGTTCGAATCGCGACGGCAGTTTTTTTTTTTTCAAATACATACTTACCGAAGAGGTTTTCACGGTCGATTACCACAATGAAATAATACAATGCAATAAAAATCAAACTTGAAAATTAGTTTTGCGTATGTACGTGCCTTTCTTCGTGTCTGTGCTTACAGTCACCTTTTGCCTCGAAACATTGATGCATTCTGGTTCGAAGGGTAAGGATAGCTGTTCAATACAAATGAAAATTCAAACTCATATCTAAAAGGTACATTTATATAAGTGGCGGCATTCTCTTTGTGATGTTATTGGAGTTCGAGAACCATTCAACTCCAGACAGCACGTGGGCTCTTTAATTACAAATATAAAAAAAATACTTGTTATTTTATAATAATAATAAAACATAATGCAGGTAACTATGAAATACCCGCCGGTTCGTTCTGCCACATTCACATCTTCGACCTACATCGACGCGCCGACATATACGAAGATCCACTAGTCTACGATCCAGATCGGTTCTCTCAAGAAAACAGCAAAGGTCGACATCCGTACGCATACATACCATTCAGTGCTGGACCGAGAAATTGCATTGGTAATATGTAATAGCCATTGTATTTAATGTTTTTGGCTTTCAAAATAAGCCTATTGTCTTTTTTATAGCAGTTCCCACGCCACTTGTCTGTGTTTTCCTTGTTAATGCTATATTTAGGTTGGAAGATACAAAACAATACGTATAATAATAATGATAAAATGTTTATTTTGTAATACCTAATACGCATTGAATTGATACTTTTTAATATACCGTACGAGTATCTATTTGTTCAAAACGAGCTGTATTTGAAAATTTCTAAATTTGAAAACGGTTTGTTTTGTAATATTGAAGAATTACCTGAGTGCATAGTAATTTTGCGGTAGGCGGCAGCTTGGCTGTGTCCTTTTCTGTGCCGACATCCGCAAACGGTATCATAAGGCGCGACTTGGACACGGCGGAGCATACGCTCGTCGTCTGCCTCGCATGAGAGGGATGGCGCCGTGACCTCCTCGCAAAAATAGGAAAGACTTGTCGTTGCCGAGTGTTGTGGTATCGATGCTCGGCGGCGACGAGCCGTGGAAGGCGATGCTCGACTTCTGCGAGTGCACCATCTCGCAGAAGGAGGCGGCGGTGCGCATGAGAGCCGGACAAGCCCGCCGACGTCAAGCGGGGGCCAGGGAGGTGGATCTCACCCAAGCCCTGGCCCTCTAAGTGCTTCGGGTCCACCTGTCGGTCTGGGGACCAGCGAGGGGGGCCTAAGAAGACGACGTGCAAGCTGCTCTGCACGTGTTTGACGCAAGAGCATCCGGGTGGTGGAAGGCTGGCTATCTTCGACCCACGCTGGTTCTGGCCCAGCGAGGTATTTCGTAGGATAACTCACTCTAACCTCCGCCATCTAGGCGGGCTTCGGATAGCCTGCCGACCGAGAGGGCTGGTGGTCGTGGCGCCGACGACCACTGGTCCGGCGTCCCGAGGGGGAGGGCGATGGGAGAGATGTGCTCCGCACTAAACATTTCACTTTCCCTTCTTTGCCTTTTCATTAGTTCTGCCTCATGCGAGGTTCGGACGTGGGTTGTTGAGCGACAGGAGGTTTTAGTCAGTTCGACTCTGACATGCCTCGCCCTCCATCCCCAGTGGAGGGCGGAAGTCCGGTGATTTCCTACTGACCAAAAAAATATATATATATCATAAGATGGCCCGTAAGCTTCGTCTGCCTGTAGAGTAAAAAAACACAACAAAACTAATGCTGAGACTTACCCTGTTGAAAACCTATTTAAAATAGACTCTTGAAAGCGATCTATCTATTTTTGTTATCTTCAGGTCAGAAATTCGCCATGATAGAAATGAAATCTGCCGTTGCTGAAGTACTGCGAAAATATGAACTTGTGCCGGTAACGCGTCCTTCAGAAATTGAACTTATTGCCGACATCATACTGAGGCACTCTGGCCCGGTTGAGATTACATTTAATAAAAGGACCAAATAAATTTAACTTAAGGTCAAGAGAATATATTTACGACTCGATTAAATTTTGTCCAAGAAAACTGTTAACGCCGGAAATAATAAAATAAAAAAACAGGACCAAGCATTAGTAAATATGTGTATTGTTACATATTTAGACGTAACAAATTTAAATTTTAAAGAAAATATATTCACTTAATTTACGCAGCATCCAACAATTGAGTTTCTAAGACTAGTAAAAATGTAATATTATATATTAAAGGAATATTTATGCATTATGTACATAATTTGTGCTAGTGCAATATTGTGTTGTGTGTGTTTTTGTGTTTATTAATTACACATACACATTTATTATGTATTTCAAAACGGCCTGAATGTTTTAATCTTTTTTATGTGAACTAAACATCTAATTTCCTTTATATTTTGTACCTTTATCGTTATAAAATCAGTTTTATCTATAATATTTAATTGTATAAAGGCTGAATAAATACATTATACTTTTTGTTTCAGTAATACCGAACATTATTTCTAAAAATCCCCTTGTTTTATATATTTATACATCTGCATAAGTATCTAACAAACACAAGTGTATTTTCATCCAATAAAATTTCTACTAACAATACTGTTTTGGTCGAAGGATTGAAACTTTATTTCTTAGATTTGTTGGTGGTACTCCAGAGATAGCTTCTGGCACACTTGCGACTGCTATGAATCTTTTCAGCTGTTATTAAACACCAGAAAAGCTTTAGCGTTGAGTATCTATATATATATATGTCGGCACGGCGTCAGGGATGGCTGAGCGGTAGTTTCGTCATCACTCGTTTTCGATTGAACTCAGTTTAGTCAATAAAACTTTTCAATCATAATTATTGAAACTTAACACACACAACTTTCACAATGACAGGATAAAACGACAGTTTCGTTGCACATACCGACAGACTGACTGACCGACTGACTGACTGACAGAGACTCACTGACTGAGACGGACGAAATTACTGTCTGACACGGAATGCCACGACTCTGTCCACGTACCGCCATTTTATACTGTGGCGTTACGTAGTCTACCCTTCATTTTGTGATATTTATCAAAACAACATCTCATCATTTAAAATAATAATCAAAAAAGTCGTTATCCACGACATATATATATATATACCATCAATTTCCGAATGACAATGCTTAAATCATCTAAATATAGTAGTAAAAAAAGTTCAGTACTTTTCTTTTGTTTGTTAAATGACATTTTTTATTTTGTTCTTTACGTATTTGCGAGATTTGGTGTTATCAATAAACAAAATTGTAGGCGTTTATTTTGTTTTTAATACAATAAAACCTAAATAACAAAATAAACGATCGAATGATCATGGAATTTCGACCACTAGGGGAAAAGTAATTTACGTACAAAAAAGAAAAATAATAATAATAAGATGTATAATAATCTCGTATCTCGTATGTCGTATCACTCTTGTCAGAGCGGTCGTGGTCGTCATCCGGCATCATTGTTGTGGGCAGATGTTATGCGCCTCACGAGCAATCGCCACTCCTCCCGGTTTGTGGTGAGCCTGGTGCACTCATGCAAACAACCGCCAACTGCCGACTTGATCTAGTCGGTCCATCGTACGGGCACCCTTCCACGCGGTCTGGTGCCTTCTACTTTGCCCTGAACGACAAGGCGCTCTATGGAGTCATTTCCTCGACGGGAGACATGTCCAAAAAATGATAGTATGCGCCCATGCACGAGCGCCGAAAGACGCTGCTTAATGCCGAGCTCTCGAAGAATGGAGATATTGGTGCGAAGTTCGGTTCATCAAATACCAAGCATTCGTCTCCAGCACCACATCTCCAGAGCATCAATCTTCTTTCTCTCGACCTGCCGCAAAGTGCACGTCGTATAATAATAGTATAATAATAATATAATAATAATAAGTAAAACGTAGAAAAGCGCCGACAATCAGTAAACACATACGAAATTAATATCGCAATTTGTATTGGTTGTCTTTGATTACTATTTATTGTTGTTCAAGTCTGAGCGAAGTCCACCTTCATTTTAAATGATAACGACTGGTATTGGCGGGTTCAAGCGACCAATAATGAACTATAAATAGTATGATTATAATGGAATTAAATGATAAATAGTATCGGCTTATTGAAAATCAGTCTAGTTACAAACCTTACTTACGAATGTCTTTTAAATTATATTATATTAATTAGATTCGTGCTTTTTTTCGCGCTGTTATATTCCAATTAACTCAAAATGTGGATATACTTTATTCTTATTTTCCTACTGTTGCTTACAATTCATTTTTCGTTAAATTATAACTACAGAGCTAGATTACTTAGAAGAATTCCGGGACCAAGAGGTTATTTCATCGTTGGGAATGCCTTCGACATTATTTTGTCACCAGGTAAGATTGAACTGTACTGCATTTCGTACGTAAATATTAGGGGTTAAAGTATGAAATTCATCCAGTGCTCGCCATTCCTTTTTCATCAAATTAAATAGCTATTTGTGCAAACAGATGTTGTCGAATCATTTATTATTGAAGTAGGTATGTATGTGAGGAGAGTGACATCAAGAGGAGAGTACATCAAATTCTTCAACTACTGATTAATCTGATTGCGAGAGTTATTAATAAGATTTCACGTTCATTTTGTTCAATAAAAATCAGTTCATTAAATAAAATTCATACGTGATCAATTGTTTTTTTTATTTATTTCAAGTACATAATACTCTCATAAAACTATTTTATAATTTACACTCGCACGAAGGCTTAAGATGTGTTAGTATCGATAGCGCAATATCGACTAATTACAACACTAGCTCATTACGTCAACATTCCTTAAAAATCCTCGGAGCTCGTGCGCGGACAGAAAATACTGGTGATTGGACTTCTTGTGAGTCCCCACGGGTAGGTACCACCACCCCGCCTATTTCTACCGTGAAGCAGAAATGCGTTTCCGTTTCAAGGGAGGGCAGCCGTTGTAACTATACTTGAGACCTTAAAACCTCAAGGTGGGTGGCGCATTTATGTCGTAGATGTCTATGGGCTCCAGTAACCACTTAACAACCAGTTGGGCTGTGAGCTCGTCAAAGCATATAAGCAATAAAAAAAAAGATACTTGGAAACAACCTCCAGAGGCTCATCGTGACCGGTTAAGGTGTATGGGAAAAAGCCTCGTGGTCGCAACCCAATACGTTGGTCCGACCAGATTCGCACCGCTCTTGATTCCAGAGCTCACACCGCCCTCCATACCGCTAGAGACAGGAACAGATGAAGAAATATCGTGCGAGAAACTGATACAGAAGGGTAGTCACGACCCTCAGCATTGAGGAATACGACACAAGGAGGAGGATAAAAAATTATATATGTACAGTAGCGAGCTTTACTCATTAGTGGGATTCCTTACTGTTATACGAATAATATATGNTGGGCTCCAGTAACCACTTAACAACCAGTTGGGCTGTGAGCTCGTCAAAGCATATAAGCAATAAAAAAAAAGATACTTGGAAACAACCTCCAGAGGCTCATCGTGACCGGTTAAGGTGTATGGGAAAAAGCCTCGTGGTCGCAACCCAATACGTTGGTCCGACCAGATTCGCACCGCTCTTGATTCCAGAGCTCACACCACCCTCCATACCGCTAGAGACAGGAACAGATGAAGAAATATCGTGCGAGAAATTGATACAGAAGGGTAGTCACGACCCTCAGCATTGAGGAATACGACACAAGGAGGAGGATAAAAAATTATATATGTACAGTAGCGAGCTTTACTCATTAGTGGGATTCCTTACTGTTATACGAATAATATATGAACTTCAAAAACTAAAACAGGAAACCGATATAATAATTTTAACTTTTTCATATTTTGTTATTACTAGTTGGGATGTTAAAGGGTAGTTAGTCATTGACAGAATTTTTAAACCGGTTTAAAAAAAGAGATTCTGAGTTCACAGCGTATACTAATACATTTTAGATTGAAATTTAATATTGTGACGTAGTTCACAGATAATCCTATAGCTCATTATAATTGTCCGTTATTTGAACATAGAAAAAGCTGTTTAAAAATATTCATTACATTACGATAATTATATCTTTTTCAGCTGAATTATTCGCATCGACAAGAAAAAATGCAACCCAATGGCCGAATTTAAATAGATTTTGGTCTTTTGGTATAGGAGCCTTAAATATATACGGACCCGATGAAATTGAGGTATTTATTACAAAACGTACTTGTATCCACCTACATATTTACAAATTACTAAGTACAAATTACTTATGAATGTAGATAGCTTAAAAATTCATCAATTATTATCATTTATCAAGAAATAATCAATTGATATGGCTATTGTAATTGAACGCTCGAGAAGTACAACGCCATCTGCTGCCAGATAGCGGAAACACAATACTGGAAATGTGTGGAATATTCTTGATAACTCTAGGCATGTGGTATCGGCTACAAAAGCGTTGCAGTGATGGCACGCAGTCAGTCAGTAATCGGAACTACTCTGAGCGAAACAGCGAACGAATCACTTGAAGCGAAGCGGAAGAAGCGAATTGAGAGTTTTAAAGTGTTTGTTGAGTGTTTTAAGTGTTCTAAGTGCTAATACGGTATTAACCTATAATTCGGTAGAATTTTTTTATTTATCCCGAGCCCTAGCGCGTAACAGTACATTATTAATTACACATTGTAACATGTACATGTAACATGTACATTTAAGCCAAACTTTAATCAGTTTGGCTTTAGTAATTATTTAATGCTTTGCAGGCAGACGAGTGTACGGTTCTGATGGTAAATAATCACCGTCGCTTATGGTCATTTGCAGTGACAGCTTTTTTTTTCCTACCTAAGCTGAGAGCCTTGAGAGGCTATTTCAGCGTAACCTTAAATAGTAGGTGAGCTCACGGGGCTCAAACCTGACGACGTTGCTAACACGAACCCTAGCAAGAGCCGTGCTTCGCAGAATCTACCACCGGATCGGAAACGTGAGTCACTGAGAAGATCCGGCGAGAAACCGGGCTGTGCCTATGGGCTAATTTACTCGTCGAGCCCTTCGTCGCAAGCGACGGGTTCGACGAGAACGATGACCAGTGCTTGAGGTACCTAAAAGCACCATTAGTGGATCGGGAGGATCCGAAATAACGTGTTCGGGGCGACGTCGACTGCTTTTCATTCTGTCCGCAGGATCGGAAATGTAATTACCGGCGGCCACGATGAGAGGGTTCTCGTGTCGTGCCGCTTTATCGAAGTGGCGCATCGATGCCGACTCTAAATACTTACTGATGGACTCTAAATCCAGGTCGTTATCAGGTCGACGTTCCTGACGAACCACGGAGCTCTGACGGCTATCCTGCAAAAACGGGATTGAATGACTTGGAGTGATTTTAAGTTAGCGCGGGCCGCGTGAGAGAACACTACACTTGCATATGTCATGACGGGGCGTATGCAATATTTGTAGAGTGTCACCTTACTTCTAAGGGAAAATTTACTTCGCCTGAAAATCATCGGGTAGAGACGTCCTAAAATGAAGGCGGTACGGTCGCGTACCGTCTTTAAGTGGGAGCGGAATGTCATTCCTCTGTCGAGGATGACGCCTAAGTATTTGAACTTCGGGACCCACGGTATGGGTTGGTCGTACATCGTGATGGGGCGAATGGCGGAGGCGGAGGTGTTGGCGCGCCTAGTCGGGAGTGGGATGCTCAAAGTGGTGTTCGGAGGGCGACCCCTTTTGAAGAGTACCGCTGTGCTTTTCGTGGGGTTGGTGTCGATGCGCCACTTCCGGAACCACTGTCCCATGGTGGTAGCTGCGGTCTGGAGTTAGTGACAGCATTAGCAAGGACTAGCATAGACATTAGCAATAGCAAGGGGCATAATCAAGCCGCTATCTAGGGGTGAGGAGTCTCCGCAAGCGTACGTACGCTTGGAGAGACTTTTTGTATGCAATTATTATATACGTTAGGAACGTTTCTAGCGTATATAATAATTACATACAAAAAGTCAAATTGCACTAACAAGTTCATTGCCAACTTGATACTCTGATTCCCAACAAACTTAAACAATTCCCTATACCTATGTTGAACCTATGTTGAAAATATTAATATATAGTCGATGATGGTTTCTAAAATCTTTGTATAGTTATATGAATATATTTGATGAAGAAAAGAAGAGTACATAGATATTTGTAGACTTGATCCACCTTTAAAAGGGTACATTACGGTTTTGTTTATAGGCTATTATTTCAAGCACACAACATATTACAAAGAGTCCTGTGTACAACTTTTTGAGTGATTGGCTACGAGACGGATTACTTTTGAGTACAGGTGATTTTTTAAGCATATAATTCGATTTAAATGATATATATCGATATATATCTTTACTGGTCCTCTTGTGGATCTCTTGTGAGTCCGCGGGGGTAGGTACCACCACCCTGCCTATTTCTGCCATGAAGCAGTAATGCGTTTCGGTTTGAAGGGTGGGGCAGCCGTTGTAACTATACTTGAGACCTTAGAAATTATATCACAAGGTGGGTCACGCATAAACGTTATAGGTGTCTATGGGCTCCAGTAACCACTTAACACCAAGTGGGCTGTGAGCTCGTCCACCGATGTAAGCAATAAAAAAAAAAAAAGGTAATTCGATGATGCAGAGCAGTAGATACTAAGTCAGTAATTTTGCAGAGATCAGGGGATATTAATTATAATAGTTCATTTAATAATAAAGATACGGTTCCGCACCAACGGCCTTACCACTTCTCTTTCTTGTCATCCTTCAATAGTTGTTTCATCTTCCTTTGTTTTCCTTCCCAACTCTATATATAACCTTTGTGTTCTTGCCGTAAGTAATTGTGGTAGAACAAGATGCTGAATGAAACACAAAAGTCAAAGAAGATTTATGAGTCTAAATCCAAACAGAATTCCAAACAGAACAGCTTTCCTAAAATGTGTGAGACCTACATGGTCTGACAAAAACACTAAGCAGCACCAATGAGCTACTTACAATATATATATTTATAGATGGGTGGACGAGCTCACAGCCCACCTAGTGTTAAATGGTTACTGGAGCCCATAGACATCTATAACGTAAATGCAGCCACCCACCTTGAGATATGAGTTCTAAGGTCTCAGTATAGTCATATTCGGGTTATTTAATACCAAAGACCAAAGATTTTTACTTTTAAATCATCTGAAAAAGGTATCAATGACTCGGTAATTCACAATATATCTACAGTAGGACTTCGGTTCTCTCTGTATTTTGAACCGGATGTTCCGTCGGGAATGCTCCGAGGAATTATTCGAGATGACCCCTCATCTCCTTTTTACCATCACACCTCCCGCCACCGGACTAGAGTTCATCCGTATTATCTGGAACCGCTACATTCATCGACATCGCGTTTCCAAAGATCTTTTCTTCCACGTACCATCCGGCTTTGGAATGAACTCTTCTCCACAGTGTTTCCCGAGCGCTATAACATGTCTTTCTTCAAAGGCTTCAAGGCTTGCGGAGAGTACTCAATGGCAGGCAGCGGCTTGGCTCTACCCCTGGCATTGCTGACGTCCATGAGCGACGGTAACCGCTTACCATCAGGTGGGCCGTAAGCTCGTCTGCCTGTAAAGGCAATAAAAAATGTATATTATATATATTTTTTTATGTGTTTGCTATATAATATTATCCAGACGAGACCAGATGCATTGATAACACAACGGGTATTATATGCACATATATTATATTTAGGTACGAAATGGCAAAAACGAAGAAAAATACTGACACCAGCTTTTCATTTCAACATTTTGAAGCAGTTCTGTGTCATTCTGGAAGAAAATAGTCAGCGTTTTACTGAGAATCTAAAGGACACTGAGGGCAAAAGTATTAATGTTGTTCCTGCTATCTCGGAGTACACACTTCATTCAATTTGCGGTATAATTTAATTTTTGTAAATTTAAATTTAATACAAAGTAATAAAAATCAGTTCTTTTACGTTTTGAATAAACATCTAAGAAAAAACAAGTAATGAAATTGTAATTAAATTCCAGAAACTGCAATGAGAACCCAACTTGGTAGCGAAACGTCTGAAGCAGGAAGATCATATAAGAATGCTATATGTGAGCTCGGAAATCAATTCGTGCACAGACTAGCTAGATTACCTCTCCACAACAACTTCATTTACAACTTGTACACACTGGGAAAGCAAAATAAGCACTTAAACATAGTTCATAGCTTCACTAAAAAAGTAATAAAAGATCGCCGTCAATACATAAGAGGGAACGGAGGTAATAATTTTGACGATGAAAAAGACACACAAGCTGACGAACATTCCATTTATTTTAATAAGAAAAAAACAGCTATGTTGGATCTCCTGCTAAAGGCAGAACGAGATGGATTAATTGACGAAATTGGCGTTCAAGAAGAAATCGACACATTCATGTTTGAAGTAAGTAATATTTTAAAACGAATCGTTTTATTATTAAACAACAATTTGATTGCTGTGTTACTTGTTACTATTGCAGGGTCACGACACTACTGCTACCGGATTAACTTATTGCATTATGTTGATAGCAAACCACAAATCAGTTCAAGTAGGTGCTCTTCGAAAATACATATATAGATTACTAATTTAATACATTTGTAATGAGCAAACCATTTATTTTTTTAGGATAAAATAATTGAGGAATTGGATGAAATTTTCGGTGAATCAACGAGAGCCGCTGACATAGAAGATCTATCTAAAATGCGCTATTTAGAAAGGTGCATCAAAGAATCTTTACGATTATATCCACCGGTACCATCAATGGGCCGTATTTTAAGCGAAGAAATCAACCTCAGTACGTATTACTTTTCTTTTCATTCGCGTAAGCCTTGTTACTACTTTTATGTTTAAAATGTATTCATACAAAAGAAATTGATTACTTGTTTTCATATTTAAATAGATTTGATATTATTCTAGATGGTTACACCGTACCAGCCGGGACCTACTGTCATATTCAAATATTTGACTTACACCGCCGCGAGGATTTGTTCAAAGATCCTCTTGTGTTTGACCCGGACCGTTTCTTACCACATAACACCGAAGGCCGACACCCTTACGCTTACATACCTTTTAGCGCTGGACCCAGAAATTGCATAGGTATGTATAACGGTAGCCACATCTGTCGACACATTAAAGAACTTACCATAAAATTAATTTCGTTTATGTTTCTAGGTCAGAAATTTGCCATACTCGAGATGAAGTCTCTTCTGTCTGCTGTATTGCGTCGTTACAATCTGTATCCAATAACCAAACCGGAAGATCTTAAATTTGTTCTAGATCTAGTTTTAAGGACAACGGAACCAGTTCACGTTAGATTTGTGAAGAGAAATAAAGTATAGCTCGAACCGCGCTTTGTAAGTTTTCGTTTTCATATTCTGTGTTCTATCTAAAATTAGCTAGACACTAAGCATTCCCGGCAAATATATTTTGGCACTCCCATATAGTGTATTTATAAACGGCAGGCCAAAGAGAAATGGCTCAGTACTGCGTACGCAGAGGAGGCGTCAGTTACGTGCAAATCTTTTGCAGAAAGTTTTCGCGGTTANTAGCTCGAACCGCGCTTTGTAAGTTTTCGTTTTCATATTCTGTGTTCTATCTAAAATTAGCTAGACACTAAGCATTCCCGGCAAATATATTTTGGCACTCCCATATAGTGTATTTATAAACGGCAGGCCAAAGAGAAATGGCTCAGTACTGCGTACGCAGAGGAGGCGTCAGTTACGTGCAAATCTTTTGCAGAAAGTTTTCGCGGTTAGTGGTACACGTGCTACCAACACTTTCGGTTAAAGTGTGTGTTATGAGAAATTTGTCATCTGGTAGATACGAGGATTTCGTGATGGAGTGCGACAATGCTTTTGAGGTGATTAAGATGTTGTTTGAAATTATCTTGCGAAAATATCTTCCTCATTCATGGAACTGTTATAATTTAATATACGTACGACGTTGAAATCATTCCATTTAGTTGATGTTTTTAAAATTTTAATCATGCATGTTGTCATTAAATATAGATAATTGTTATTTTTTTGGAAATTTATTATTGGCTAAGTAACTCTTACATTAAATATTAATAAAATTAATAGTCTTGGTTTTCACACGTTTTATTAAGTTTGCCTAATCCTTTTCTATTTTTTCCTAAAATAATAGATTCTATATTTTAGTTTTAAACGCTTAGATTTTAATGTTTGTCTCAATGTAATCACGGTATTCATGTTGGGGTGCTTATTAAATCCGGTCCTTAACATCAGCTGAACCGTGAACTTATTGCCCATATAAAACAACAATAAAAACAAAAAGTGTAAGTACAGCTTTGTGAATGAAGCAATGAAATAAATTTTCATCTGTCTTTTAATGTTTTATTCTCTCAAATTTCGGTGACATGACTGAACCTTAAAATACACAAGGTTTCAATGATATGGCTTAGGAAATAAAAATCTCATTTCTTTTTTTAATTAACGTGAGACTGTTAAAATATATCTCAAATAAAAACTACAACAAAATATGACTTAACTACGTGAAGGATCTTAAAAAAATTAAAAGAAAGGGGCTAATTTGATAACAACACTGCGTTAGACATTTCCATTGATCTGACTACGATATATATATATTTTTAAATAAAGTCGTATTTTGACCAATTAACACGCTGAATGAATCAAGTTGAAGTCCAATTTACGCATACGAACAAAACCGACGGCTACAGGAAATCAATTCGTAACGTTTATTTTTTATTTTTAGACTTATCTGTGGTGACTTCAAAAGACTCAAAAATAAATTAATAAGTAACATGGCCATTACTGATTAAGACATGACGTGATTTTGTTATTAATTCATTTCCTATTGACTGACATAGCATAAAACCTATTTTGGCTAAAAGGACAATTTTTTTTTTAATAATCAATAATCTTTCAGTTATCAAATGTGTCATAAAACGCTGGATACGTCCTGGAAAATTACATTTAAGTTACAATAAATACTGAAATTTATGAGAACTTCATGAAAACGAGCACCACGAATCAAGAATTTCTCCTGCCTTTCTCCCAGTCGCCTGGGATCGGCGCAACATGTTTTCTCTTTCCTTAATTCTCTATCATATACCATCTCTCTGCTCACTCCCTTCTTACACACATCGTCTTTCACGCAATCCATCCATTTTTTCTTAGGTCTACCTTTTCCTCTAGAGCTCTTCCATCTATCACGGCCAAACTAGAATAGAAAGAAGCTACTCGCAGATAGGTAGTTAAATAAAAATGTTTTGACTAATTTGACTAATAGCTTTTACTGGCATACTGACATAGGAATATTTAAAAAAAAAACTAACTTCTTCAATTTAAAAGAAGAATAAGTAGTTCGAATTCAATTAAATATGTATTAATAAGAATAACTTGAAAACTACTGCTCAGATAAATAATTAAAAATAATAATTTTAATAGGATCACATGAAAAGTATAAGATTTCAAATAAAAAAATTATCATAAGCATCGGTTCGCATACAAAAGTTCTGAAATGACACAGATAAAAAGTCAAATTGACAACCTCCTCTTTTTTCCAAAACTTTTAAAAGGTTAACAAAATAAAGCTGTTAATATTACAGTATAATTTATCGAACATTAACTATTTAAAATAGCAAATATTAATTTTACAACCTCTTCGAACTTCAAACTATTTGGTGTAATTGAGACGGAATGCTAGCCAGAAAAAAAATGTTTTGAATTTCATTTAACGCTTTGGTTTTATGAATAGTAGTAAGTTTTTTTTGATCAAATTATTTCAAAATATTTTATATTAATATGCCCCTTTTTTTTCTCTACCAAGCTGAGAGCCTGGAGAGGCTATTTCAGCGTAACCTTAACTAGTAGGGAGCTCACGGGGCTCAAACCTGACGACGTTGCTAACACGAACCCTAGCAAGAGCCATGCTTCGCAGAATCTACCACTGGATCGGAAACGCGACCCACTGAGAAGATCCGGCGAGAAACTCAGTGGGCTGTGTCTGAGGATTAATTTACTCGTCGAGCCCGGTGCTTGAGGTACCTAAAAGCACCGTTAGTGGAAATGACGTGTTTGGGGCGACGTCGACAGCTTTCCATTCTGTCCGCAGGATCGGGAATGTAGTTACCGGCGGCCACGATGAGAGGGTTCTCGTGTCGTGCCGCTTTATCGAAGTGGCGCATCGACGCCGACTATAGATACTTACTGATGGACTCTAAGTCCAGGTCGTCATGGAGGTCGAAGTTCGCACGTAATATGCCCCAAGTAGCGATATTCCTATAGGCATCGTATGACGCGACTTGGGAATTCAGAGGTAAACGGACAGCAGCATTCCCCCAGTGCTGCAATCGCAGANGGTTCTCGTGTCGTGCCGCTTTATCGAAGTGGCGCATCGACGCCGACTATAGATACTTACTGATGGACTCTAAGTCCAGGTCGTCATGGAGGTCGAAGTTCGCACGTAATATGCCCCAAGTAGCGATATTCCTATAGGCATCGTATGACGCGACTTGGGAATTCAGAGGTAAACGGACAGCAGCATTCCCCCAGTGCTGCAATCGCATACCAACATTAACCGATGGTATAGTGTATTGTAAGTCCGCACGGATATTTGCCACCAATGTCTCTATTTCTACCTTTCACTTCATGTCTCTTGGAAGGTGACGGCATTCACGTAGTGATGATGTCTATGGCTTCCGCAAATTAAATAATAATTAATTAGTTGTACTAGTCTATTCATCTAAAGCAATAACGAATAATTTGTTTATTTACCATAATTGGCATTTATTATTCAGGATTCAAACTAATTATGTACAAAAACTTTATTTGTGCCTTTTGGGGGTAACGATAAAGAAAAGATCTTCTAGCGAGCAGATGTAATTTCTCGGTAGGCCGATGGTCCAAAATGTTGTTGTTTGGAACTTGATAATGTCGTTAACAAAATTCAGAGATCTGTCAAATATCTTGTGTTTTATGATGGTTAAAGCCACGTGTCTAATACAAAAATAAAATGGAATAACAATAAAAAGAGGAAACGAGATTTCGGGATTTCGTTAGTCGCTTATTTTATTTAAATTAAAACCAATTTTTCCACTAGTCTACCACTGTCATTAGTAGATGTCTACGAACATATTATGTAAGTTCCACCAAACTGAATTCCGGATTCGAGTACCGTGAGAAAAACATATTATGCTACATTGTTTAATTTTAAAATTAATTGTTTTAAGTAACCCTTTAATTGTAAATTAATGATTATTATTTTCTGTAATGAACAACATTCTTTGTTTCTTTAAATATTTTTTTATCTATTGCTCATATTTAGAAATTTTAGGGAAAAAAATACAAGCTAAAAGTCTAGAACTGTGGCTAGATAGCTAAATAATATTAGTGTGAACATGTCAAACAATAGATGTTCATACAACGTTTTTTTTTGTCGTTTGGCAATACCTTTATGGCCAATACCTAATGAATGAATACTATCCGCGTGTGCACAGTAAAACCTTTTTAACAAAAACGTGACTAACAAAATTTACATTGAACTAGTGGTAATCGTCAGTATGTAAACGCTAAAAGTCAACAGTAAGATAAGCCAGAGAGGCGTGACGATGTGGTTCAGTTGGCGCCTGCGCGTCGCGAGTATACTCTACAGCGCTTGCGTGGTTTCACCATTCCCAACCGGCATCGACGGAGCGGGTATCGCTCACAGGTGTTCTATCCTCGACCATCATGAACGCTAGCCAGCTCCGTCGACTCGCCTCACCGATTCTTAAGCCCTCGATATGTGCCTGTTTTCGACACTACAGTCAAGTGAGACCCGTCTATATAATTGAAAACTCTGATGTGAGTGTCTTTCTGTGTGTTCCAATGATCTAATTTCGAATCCTGTGATGTTTATGTTCCTTTTTTCACTCCTCTCCTTTTTTAATTATGTACAATACAGTAATGCGGTTCCATAATGTGAATTAAATGAAACGTCAATTTCAGAAATGGCGCAACTCAGCACCCAACTTCTATTCGATTCAATCCGTCGATATAAGGTATGTACACAAAATCAATAGACGCAGTATTCGAAACCTATGTACATTTAACATAAATTGATTTTAATGAACCGGTGACACATACTTATTGATCTACAATTAAAGCAACGGCGCCGTCTGCAAACTTCGATCACCGAGATTTGTAATTTACAAACACTATAAATAATATTAAATCTCAGTCAATGTATAATTTATTTTGTTTCATACATTGTGGAAAACTATGTATTCATCTTGATGAGACACTTTTAGCTAAGAAAACCGTTTTGATTTTTCATAATTGATAAAATTTGTACCAAAATTTAGCAGCTCTTTATCTGGACTTCTAGACGCTATTTCAAAACAAAAAATCAAAGTTAATCTCGTGGTGATTTCACTTTCAAAATGTAGCTGATAAGATTTCATGAAAATCCTATATTAAAATTTGTTCACATTCCATGGTGCAGGCAGTATTCGTTCGTGCATAACATCGACCCTAAATCGTGAGTACAGGGCTAGTAAGCCTTGTGTTGGTTATGCATGTAGATATTTGGACCTAATTTTGATTTTTTAATATTTTCGCAAAATGTAATTAGAAAGGCCTTTACGAAATTTCGTTTCGAATGAATTTATTTTTTGCTAATTACGCACTAGCTTTTTCCTATTTTACACCAAAGAGTTTGGTTGAAAACATATTTGTTTCATAATTGGCTTTTTGTTCGTATGTGTATTTTAAAATTTAGACATTACAAATAACTTGTTTTTTTTTTAAATTAATTAAAAGCATGCATTATTGATACTATTGGCTTCAGTTTGGTTTTAGAACAGAGTATTTTACGATAAACTCGTAAGAAACATTAGGTTATTCTTCGATTATTAATAGATAATAATTGTTATTATATTGAGGTAATTATGTTGTATTATTATTAATATAATTTGGGTAGTTTAGGTCATCGCTGTGGGATCTGAGGGACTTATTATATGCAGGAGTATTGTGTGTTGAATAAGCTGAAAACAAATTTGGTAGCCGTCCAATCGTATGTTACACGCACGTGAATCAATAACGCCAATCGTGTTTTCGAATTGTGTAAATTCAACTACCGCACGCCAAAAAAACGAAAATGCAAAGCTTTCGTTTATGTTCACTCGTTTGGCTAAATATAAAACGTCATGTGATGGTATTAGATGTGTACATAATGTATTGTACCGAGTAAATGTTTGTTCGGGCCTTCGGGCACCTGTTTACGTCGCAGACACACCCGCGTATTACGTCAAAGAAATAGAGTTATTATTAGAACACAGTCGTGACACCAATAATTACCCTGAACAGGTTTTTCCAATTTCACGTAACATTGTTCAATATTTGCTAACGAAGTACAATAATTCCATTAGCAAACGTTTTAAATATTAATCTAACTTTATTATTTAATATCTATGTGTCCGATCGGATGTCCGTAATTTTGAATTTCAATATAATAATATGTAGGTACATAGCTAATTGTTCCTTTTTATCAGAGTCCGAGATGGTCCACATAAGAATGCTGATGATGTCCTATTTGATATGTTTAAGAATGAAGAAACAGGATTACTTCCAGTTGGAAAATTTTTGGCCGTAAGTTTTTAAATACTAATTGTTATGGGTTCTGTTTTCCAAAGGTACATACGTACTCTAAAAATATCATCAGATAATAGAATCATACCTAAAGTAGCGATAGTGCTATTGAGGATAATATACAGCCATAATATTGACCATTGATCTATTTCTATACATTTATTTATCCCTATAAAACGTCACGCAGCTATTTCTTTTGGAGGATTTGTAGTAGGTTGCAGGTTAGTTTAAAATAACACCTTTTTATATTAACTTCAGTAACCTGAAATATTATGGGCATCTTTTTGCCTTTTGATTACTGTTACTCAACAATTAGACTACTTATCAAGCGAAAGTCGTTAATACTTACCTGCTACCACGAATAGGTATATTTTTAAGCTACGTTTGATAGAAAAGCTGCCATAGCAACCCGAAAATACCATAGGCGGCAATTTATCAAAAATTCGCATCGTTTATGTTACATTTCATTATTTATGTTCATCATAATGAACAATTTATATATTTTATTTGTTTATTTATTGTATTGTCGTATACATTGGCTTCATTTTTAATGCAGGCCCTAAGAACCACCGGGATAAGAAAAAACGACGCACGTGTTAAAGAGGTAATGCATAGCCTGTACAAAGTTCACAAGGAATCTAATTTCGAAGGAGGATCTCCAGAAACACTGAAACTTGATCGAAAGACCTTCAAAGAAGTTATTGCACCAAATATAGTATTGATAACTCGAGCTTTCCGAAGTCAGTTCGTAATTCCAGACTTCCAAGATTTTATCAAGGACATAGAGGAAATGTACTGGGCTGCAAAGAGCAATACTGATGGTAAAAATGCGAGCTATATCCCGCAATTAACGAGAGCCAGTCCCGAGAGTTGGGGCGTAAGTGTTTGCACAATTGATGGTCAACGTTTTTCTATTGGTAAGAATTAAAAATATTAGGTATATGTATTTATTATAAGGTTGGCGAAAAAGCTTCTTCGCATTTTTTAAGAAAATTCACAATATTTTTTAATATAGTTTATTTACATTTAACTGCCTAACTGCCTAAAGAATTCTGAAGAGACCGAAACGGGTGGAAATCTGAAGGTGCAAGGTCAGGACTATATGGTGGATGCATTAACACCTCTCAGCCAAGCTCTCTTAATTTTTTCTGAGTGGTTCAAGATGTGTGAGGTCTAGCGTTATCCACCACAACCACACCCTTCTGTTGATTAATTCCGGCCGCTTTCTCTCAACTTCTTGTTTTAATCTCATTAGTTGTTAGCAGTAGATTTCAGAATCGATGGTCCTGCCTGGCGTTAGCAGCTCATAATGAATAATGCCCTTCCAATCCCACAACACACACAGCATCACCTCACCCCAGTTAACCCGGGTTTTGCCAAAGTCTGTGAAGCCTGACCGGCCTTTGACCACGACCTTTTTCGCACGTTCTTGTCGTACGTGATCCACTTTTCATCACCAGTTATCAGCTTCTTCAAAAATGGTTCAGTTTTATTACGTCGTAATAAAGAATCACAAATGAGTACACGGTTCATTAGGTTTCTTTCAGTGAGCTCGCGAGGTACCCAAATATCGAGCTTTTTTGTGTACGCAGTTTTTTTTCAAATGCGCCAAAACTGTTTTGTGGTCAATTCCCAGTTCTTCAGCTACGTCGTAAGTACAGATATGCCGATCTTGCTCCACTTTTTCAAAAATGGCGTCCATTTTATCCGTAATAGTGCGACCAGAGCGACGTGCATCTTTGACATCAAAATTTCCGGATTGAAAACGCTTAAACCAAATTTGTGCTACTCTCACAGACACTGCACTAGGTCCATAAACATCGCAAATTTTTTTCGCGGCTTGCGTTGCATTTTTGCCTTTTTTGTAGTAAAATTATAAAATGTATCGAATTTCTTCATTAGATTCATCTTGACCGTACGAAAAATAAATAAAAATCACACATATTCCAAATTTGAATTTGGAATTATCTTCTTTAAAATTTAAACTTTTAATGATACCAAAACCAGCCAGATACAAATGGTATAGCCAAAGAGATTTTATTACAAGTTCATACATACTATAATGCGAAAAGAGTTTTTCTCCAACCTATTAAATAAATTGAAAAATTGGTACTGTTCCATTAGCCGGGCGCAAATTGGGTTAGGTTAGTAAATGATTTTTCGCTTGCGCCCGGCTATTGGAAAAGTACCCAAAAATTTTTAGGATTGAATCTTATCTTTCATAATTATATTTTCCACAAATTTTGTTAAACATTACTTAAATAAAAGAAAAAAACTTAAATTGCTCTGTCTCATTTCCGCTCAACTAAATAAGGGGCCACACCCTTTTCAGCTCACACGCAATCATGTTACGTATTTCAGAAAAAAAAGGTTGGTACGTATAGAATTTTGAAACCTTGCTCGACAAGCAGGCATGTTACATTTTGGCCACGGGTACAATAATATACCGATGATCTGTAAAACTAAATCAATTATTTAATTAAAAATAGAGTGCACATTAACAGTATGACGTTTTGTATCCGTACGGATTTGTACCTCAAATTTAAATACTTCTGATTCTATTAAATTTAGTCATTTAGATTAGTCAATAGATTATAATTAGTGATTGCTTTTGCTTTAGACATTAATCTTTCTGTTTCTATTTCATTATAGGTGACGTGACCGTGCCATTTACTCTTCAATCTTGCAGCAAGCCTTTGACTTATGCAATGGCCCTTGAAACTCTTGGTCCTGACGTAGTGCACAACTATGTTGGCACAGAACCTAGCGGACGGAACTTTAATGAATTGATCCTCGATTATAATAGTACGTATTATTTTAATCAAAAGTAATCATGTCGTAGCATCAAGCTAACAAGTTTTTTATTAATTTTGCAGTGAAACCACACAACCCTATGATCAACGCTGGTGCTATTCTTGTTTGTTCATTACTAAAAACGCTGGACAAACCAGAAATGACATTGGCTGAAAAATTCGACTACGTAATGTCGTTCTTTAGTCGCCTTGCTGGGAATGAGGTGTTGGGCTTTAATAATGCAGTATTTTTATCGGAACGTGAAGCCGCCGACCGAAACTATGCTCTGGGTTTTTACATGAGGGAACACAAATGCTACCCCGAGAAAACAAATCTGAGGGAATGTATGGACTTTTATTTCCAGGTAAACAATAAAGAAGCATTTCGTATATTAGAATTAATAAGCCAAAATACTAATTTATTTTTTAATATTTTCAGTGCTGTTCCATGGAAGCAAACTGCGATATAATGTCAATTATGGCGGCAACTTTGGCTAACGGAGGAATTTGTCCGATAACTGATGAAAAAGTATTGCGGCCAGACTCCGTGCGTAATGTGCTGTCGTTAATGCACAGTTGCGGCATGTACGACTACTCTGGACAGTTCGCTTTCAAAGTGGGACTCCCTGCCAAATCTGGAGTATCGGGCGCCATGCTTATTGTGGTCCCAAATGTTATGGGCATATGTACATGGTCACCGCCTCTAGATCCATTGGGAAATAGCTGCAGAGGCTTACAGTTCTGCGATGTAATTCTTGAATTATTTACGTAAAATGTAGTGAAGATTGATTAAATACACTAATTTATTTTCACGTATTTCAGGACTTAATTAAACGATTCAATTTCCACAAATACGATAACATTCGTTACGCGAGCCACAAAAAGGATCCCCGCCGATACAAGTTCGAATCCACAGGACTTAATATCGTCAACTTATTGTTCTCTGCTGCAAGTGGAGATCTCAGTGCACTGAGAAGGTAATTTATAACCATTTCCTATTAAAAAATACGTGTAACTTAAGCGCACACTAGAGTAACGTATGTTTTGTTTATTCGTCAGCACTATTAGTAATAGCACATCGGAAGCTGTTTCCGTACAAGAAAACACTACACAAACATCTCAATAGCAACTTACTAAAACAAGTATAACAATGTTTTTAAGCTTCTTGTAATTGATTAAGGTATCGTAGTATGCTTGGTTTAAACTGGTCATTTATAATTATTTGCCTAATTACTTTGATTATGGCTATCCGTGAATAGGCCATGTTATAAAAAGCCTAGGACCATACTGCTTTATTGCAAGAGGTAGATACATATTAAATCCCCCACAAATAAAGGACAGCAGCAAAAATATTGCTAATTTATATAAAAAAAACGTGATGCATTAAAAGATAATCAGATTAATTAAAATCAACTGCGTTTTTCATTACAGGCACCACCTGTCTGGTATGGACATGACTTTGTCGGACTACGATGGACGGACGGCTTTGCATTTATCCGCTGCTGAGGGTCATTTGGCGTGCGTCGAATTTTTGCTCGCTCAATGTGGAGTACCTCATGACCCGCGAGATCGTTGGGGCAGTCGACCTCTAAATGAAGCCGAAACATTTGGACACACTGCCGTTGTTCAATATCTGAAGGAATGGGAACGCGCTCACCCCGAAAACCCCCCAGTAGAATCACCATCCTCAGTGGACGAAATACTCGTGACTAAGCCAGATGCTACCGATGCTGTAAAGGATCCCAGCATCCAGGAGATAGTGACCAGAAATGGAGATAAAGTACAATAATACAGTAGAATCTCATACATTTAGTTGTAGATCTCAGTAACCTAAAATAAAAATAACCACGGCATTTCACGCCATTGTATCTCCAGAAGAGGTGATTTATACAAATCATTTCGTTTTCATAATAATGATTCGTTTACTAATGTTTAATATCGAAGTACAATTTTTACAACAATGCTTTGAATGAGTTTTAAATTGAAAATTAATTATGTATTTGTGTAAGTACACATCCACGTGTCATCTTCGGTGTAAAATAGTAATTACCTATATGACCTAGGTATTTTTATCCGATTTCATAAAAAGGTTTCAAATTAAGTTTTTTAATAAAGCTTGCTATCTCAGAACTCTGTCATTTATTTTGGAATTCGAAATAATATACAATCAGTTTCGTCTCATGAAATTTCATCAAAATCCGCTCAGTAGTTTGGTTTTTAAATCTAAATATGTAGTTGGAAAAAGTAAATAATCGATGCAAGCTTTATTGTGTATTTTGATTTTTAATGAGCGACTATTTAAATTGTTTTTTTTAATTAACAGATGATTTTGAAAACCGTGCTCATAAATTACTGTTTTATTTACGTTAAGGACAATATAGGTGGAATTTCATCACTGAAAATTTTATGTACAATTTATCATATTTCTGCATGTCTTTAAATTTATAAGTACGATTGTATTTAAATTGCTTATAAACTATAAACGCCACATTTCCAGAGTTAAAATCTGTGTTATATTTTTTTAACATTCCATTTTTGATGACAGACGCAATGTATGTCTTTTAAATACTGCTTGTCGTTTAGCTAATGGTTTATAACGTCATCCTTTTATATAAATACTAAAGTTGGTAAGTGGGAATGTTAAAAATGTTGCATTACACACGTTTTAATAAATACGCAAAGACAATAATTATAATGTTAACAAAACAATATTTAGTAATTATAGTTCATGTGTATTAATGTTGTCCATATTATGTATAAGTCAATTAAACTTGTTGAATTTATAATCGGTTTCTTTATTTTTAAAAGTTTTTTATAGACTATATATTATTGTTTACTATTCCATGTTAGAAATTAGTAAGAGGTTTAATATTTGCAAATCGTGAGCGTTCGACAAATGGTTCAAAAATGTTTTCAGTGTTTGCGCGCCTATTAGGGAGTGGGATGCTCGAAGTGGTATTCGGAGGGCGAACCCTTTTGAAGAGCACCGCTGTGCTTTTCGTGGGGTTGATGTAAATGCGCCACTTCCGGAACCACTGTCCCATGGTGGTTACTGCGATCTAGAGTCGCCGATGCAACATTCCTACACGAGTAGTCAAAAACTTCAATTAAATTGATTTTAAATTGATTTGAACATATACCTCGCGAATAAATAGCTTTTGCTGTATCTTAAATTTAATTAACTGTTATTATGACCTATATAACAGGCAATAACACTATGCAACTCTAATCTCAGATTATTTCATTCAGCTAAATAAAATAGTGTTTGCCCAATGATTAAAATTCAACAATACTCAAAGTAAAAGTGTTAGATATATTTTGCTTCTCTTTTGTTTTGTTATTGACATAGTGTGAAAAGACTTCCAAATTGTTTATTGATAAAGCTCATCAAAGCCTACTAAACAAATAAGAACCTACTAACAGATGGATATCAGAAATACAAGATGACTGTGAATTAGATGCCTTGATGATGCTCCATTATTCACAAGATAAAAAAGTATCCCTTCATAGAACTTTAGTCAGGGTATTTAAATTTTATAACATCAATAAAATAACTACTTATTGTATTACCAATTTTATTTATTATTACATTAAAAATCTGTTTACTATTTTAACGAAAACTAAACAAAAACAAATTACTATATTTAACAACTTGTTCATTTAATTAACACTTACAGCTGGTTTAGTGGGAGTAGATATAATACCAAGTAATTTACAGTCTGCCTCTAGAAGTGTAAGATCTGTGCTCGATCCTAAGAAACGAGATGATAATTCTAAATCATTAATTTGTATCCGAACTCTAGTGCCCCTGACGTATTCTTCACCTCTCAAATTTGGTCTTGTACAAACACAATGAAATTTCCATCCAAAATCTATATATAAGTCATCTTCTACAACATGAAATATTTTTCCTATTACGGTTTTTCCCACTGGATCCCCCAACTGAAAAGAGCAAATGTTCAACAAAAAAAATGAGTCTTTTAGAAATCTTGTTAGTCGATAATATTTAATGTGCTATTATAGCTATACAGTGGACTCCCGGTAACTCGACAAATGTTTTGCAGGGCAGTGTCGAACTATCGAATTTGTTGGATTATAGACTATCGCCTAAGATTAATGTAATTATCACCATAGAACTTACAGAAAATACTTTACGTATGTCGTGACGATTTTTGAAATCACTTCCTAGCCACAAAATCATCTTTTTCTATTATTTTCTTTAAAAAACTTAGGCTTTGTTGGCCAACCTCAGTTCGGAAATGGACATATTCGCTATCATATGCAGTCAAATTCAAACTAAGCAATCAGAATCAAAACAATATCTATGCATTGAGTAAAATACGCCATGCCATATGCTGGTGGCGTATATAAGTTGTAGCCTGTTCAATCATGCATAATCTGCAATAGCAACGATTGTCCAAAAATATTCAATATTAATAAACATGTCGAATTACAGGGGTCAGATTACTGGAGATCCACTCTATTATGCTTGCTATAGCTTATTCTGTAATAGAAATATTAACATAATTGTTGATAATAAATTGCAGCTAAAACTTTTTGAAGACACTTCAAATGTTTTAACTATGTATATGACAAGTATCAATAACAATACAATAATTTTAATATGTAACTTACTCCAATTTTCAAATTCATCAAAATTATTTGTTAAACTAAATGTCACTGAGATATATTTCTTGAATGATAAAACATATTATCTCTAGAACCAGTTCAAAAACAAAGGCACTGTCTATTCAGAATCTTTGAATTAATATTGTTTTACCACACAAACAATCCTATAATTAATCTTTTGTGTAATAATAGAACATTTTATAAGGTCTTGTTGACATAAATCTCCCAGTGGCTTATTTATAGTATTCAAGCTATTGGCAATGCAACATTGTTGGTTCTTATTATTTAACTTTGCAAATCAGAAACCCTGGGTTAATTATTTCCACAAAGATTTTCACACTTTCATCGAACCTATTACTTATCTATTGTTATTGCTAGAATATCAAAGCTATGCAAGTCTTAAATTTTAACTTACATCCATTAATTTTGAATTCCGAAGTAATGAAGCGAAAGTATAACTTTTTTCTTGTTCCGGATTCTCCAGAATTTGAGATTGTTTTTCAAAGGCTTTTGCGAAACCACTTAATTTTTCCTGCGAAATATCCTTATCGATTTCGTTACCAGAATCAGAATACGGAGGGGTGTTAGAATAACTACACAAATTTAAAACTCTAATTAAATGATTTGACTTTTCAATTCCATTCAATAAACTTCGCGTGAAATATCTCGGTTTGATATTCCTGAATGGTATCATGTTTTGTATTATTTATGGTAATATTTAATATTTCTCAGCGTATTTATGTTCCTTCAGTTTCAAATCGTCTTAATGGTAGTAAATTATTTAAAATAGTTAATTTAGCATGAAAGACTATTTATGTTCAAGATAACCTCTAAAGTTTTTTTTCCATTTCTTATTAAGTGTATAATCTATGATTTCTTAGCCTACAAATGTCAAAATTCTCAAATATTAAGTGTTTAATCTATGCCTGCAAGCCTCTAAACTAAAGCTTGACTTTTTGGCGGGAACGCGAGAAGTGAAGTTGTTTGATTTGTTTTATTTTGTCTATTTAGTGTTTCTTCGGGTTTAAATGTGTAATAATGGTGGGTTATTAACCGTTTAATATCTGTGAAAGTGCACAAATGTGGGAAAATGAAACAAAGCCGCTGGACGTAACTTCTCGGAATCCTCCAAAAAGTTCACTGAAAAATCTTAGTAAATGACCACCATTTTACTGAGATTATAATTCATCTCATATCATCTCATTTAATTTCATCCCAGTTGATTAATGTCTCAAATTAATCATCTTCATTTGATTTCACTCCATAATATCATTTTTCATAAAAATATGAATATACATTAAAATAAGACATGACTTAAAAGTCTTAGTTACCAGGTCATAAAATCCATTAAAAAAAAAAAACTAAAGCTTGCGGACTTTTTGGCGGGAACGCGAGGAGTGAAGTTGTGTGATTTGTTTTATTTTGTCTATTTAATGTTTCTTCGGGTTTAAATGTGTAATAATGGTGGTTTATTAACTGTTTAATATCTGTGAAAGTGCACAAATGTGGGAAAATGAAACAAAGCCGCTGGACGTAACTTCTCGGAATCCTCCAAAAAGTCCACTGAAAAATCTTAGTAAATGACCACCATTTTACTGAGATTATAATTCATCTCATATCATCTCATATCATCTCATTTAATTTCATCCCAGTTGATTAATGTCTCAAATTAATCATCTTCATTTGATTTCACTCCAAAATATCATTTTTCATAAAAATATGAATATACATTAAAATAAGACATGACTTAAAAGTCTTAGTTACCAGGTCATAAAATCCCTAAAAAAATAACTAAAGCTTGCGAAGACTTTTTGGCGGGAACGCGAGGAGTGAAGTTGTGTGATTTGTTTTATTTTGTCTATTTAATGTTTCTTCAGGTTTAAATGTGTAATAATGGTGGTTTATTAACTGTTTAATATCTGTGAAAGTGCACAAATGTGGGAAAATGAAACAANCACTTTGTGAAATAATGTTGCTATATTTAAAGTAATAGTGATGCGTTCAGTTCTCGTTCAATCACATGAATGAACAATGAGTGTGAAGAGTTAATCATTAATTTCAAACTATAAAAGAATATTATTTATATTTTACAATAAAATTGTATTAAAGTGCTCCAATATATGTTACTAGTAGTATGTAACTACAATCAGTTTTTTTTATTTTCATTACCTACCCATAATTGTTATATTTTATACGTCTATAATTTCAACTATTGTGTTATTTTTGTATAATTTCAACTGTGTTGGCAATAGGACAGTCTTACAAGCTTCCTCGCAATGTTTTTCTTAATGTTTAAAACACTCGGTATTCAGTACAGGTAGATACTATAGGAACATAATATTTCGTCGAAAACTCGTTGGTATGTACAAAGCACGCCTAAAATTCGAACCCCGTACCCGATATTGGCAATTCGGCACACCAACTATTCACTAGACAATCCAGGCAATTTCATTAATTCAGGAGTTTTTTCAATCGTTCACTTTGTCACAACACTATTTTTATTTCATCAAAAACTGACAACACAGTAAACGTCAGTTGACTTCGTCTAATAAAAAATCCGACTATAGTTACTATTGTTGATCGAAGGTTTTTCACTAGACAAAGGGGAATGCCCATTTCAGGCCCAAAGTGGACAATAGATTAGAGAAGAAACACTTAGTGCATTAATTTTGTCATAAATAAATAGGCAGCATTGTCATAAATAAATATATAAATAAATAAATAATTAGTAGGCAGCGGCTTGGCTCTGCCCCTGGCATTGCTGAAGTCCATGGGCGACGGTAACCACTCATCATCAGGTGGGCCGTATGCTCGTCTGCCTACAAGGGCAATAAAAATAAATAAATAAAAAGCATTTACTTTCTTCCAAATAAGCTAGTGGCGCTTATTTGGAAGAAAGTAAATGCTTTTTTTTTTGAATCACTCCCAAGTGAGAGTGATTCAAATGGTGCGGTGCACCTTCCTTGAGGTGCACTGCGGTAGTCTGTTACGGACTTTAGAGTCAGCAAAACAATTAAAATAGATTGTAATAGTCTAAGAAAAACACGTACTTAAAATACGATAACATTCAGCATGCTAGAAATGGGCTGATGGCACTGTACTATGCCATATCTTTATGTTTTGCGGCAAACGACAACTTTATAAAATTAGTGTAGCAAATTTTAAAAATCGTCATATCGTTTACTTTATCTACTATCTACTATCGTTACTATCGTTTACAAAATTTGAAGCACGAACTCGTTTTAGATTTCACATAATATCTAAATCACATCATCTTTGCACATAACAATATACTTAATTCCTATTAAAGTATAAATTCTACAAATACATTCATACTCAACAATATTTAAAATAAAATAAGCCAAGAACGTTTATCGATAAAACCTACTAACATTAAAATCTTCTGGGCAGCACTAAAACCGCCATGTTTTGTGGCCAGATGANTTATTTTGTCTATTTAGTGTTTCTTCGGGTTTAAATGTGTAATAATGGTGGTTTATTAACTGTTTAATATCTGTGAAAGTGCACAAATGTGGGAAAATGAAACAAAGCCGCTGGACGTAACTTCTCGGAATCCTCCAAAAAGTCCACTGAAAAATCTTAGTAAATGACCACCATTTTACTGAGATTATAATTCATCTCATATCATCTCATTTAATTTCATCCCAGTTGATTAATGTCTCAAATTAATCATCTTCATTTGATTTCACTCCATAATATCATTTTTCATAAAAATATGAATATACATTAAAATTATAGACATGACTTAAAAGTCTCAGTTACCAGGTCATAAAATCCCTAAAAAAAATATCTAAAGCTTACGAAGACTTTTTGGCGGGAACGCGAGGAGTGAAGTTGTGTGATTTGTTTTATTTTGTCTATTTAATGTTTCTTCAGGTTTAAATGTGTAATAACGGTGGTTTATAACTGTTTAATATCTGTAAATGTGCACAAATGTGGGAAAATGAAACAAAGCCGCTGGACGTAACTTCTCGGGATCCTCCAAAAAGTGCACTGAATAAATCACAGTAAATGACCACCGTTTTACTGAGTTTGTATTTCATCCCATATTATCTCATCTCATTTCATTTAATTTCATCCCAGGTGATTTATGTCTCAAATTAATCATCTTCACTTCCTTTCATTTCATTTCACTTCAAATTATCATTTTTCATAAAAATAAAAATATAAATTAAAACAAGACATGACTTAAAGATCTTAGTTACCAGGTCTTAATATAGATAAGCATAAAAATACTTGTTCAAAGTGGATTATTGCCACCACAGAACACTATTACTTCTAGCGAAGATTGCCACTGATTGTATGAGCCTATTATAAAGTCTAGAAAGTAATGTAAATAAAACAAATGTAAATTATTTAGTGTATAGTATTAAACAACTTTTGTATTATTTGAATGTAGTTTGTCATGTAAATATTGTACTAGTTTGGGTTCCATCCCACATTGGCATATTGGGCAATGAAAAAGCTGACCATTTAGCAACCATGATAATAAATTATAGTGCGGGTTCTGTCCCATATTTTGAAGTTGGAATTCCTTTCACAGATATTCATAGTTGTCTTAAAAAGAATGTGTGATAACTGGAAGAAACATTGGGATCATTCTACTCAAGTCTTATGTAAGGGTACTTGGTACAGTCTTTTGAATTCCGAAGTAAATAAAAGACCTTGGTTTTGTAAAGGAGAATATGTAAATAGAAAGTTTTATTCTATTTTAAGTCGTTTGAGGTTTGGTCATTGTCGTCAATTACCATTTATATCGTATGAGAATGATTCTCAGTGACTTGTGTGATCGTTGTGGAAATACTGAACAACAATCTATAAACCATATTCTATTTTCTTGCCCATCCTTTAACATTCGTTCGTTCATTGAAGTCATCGTGGCCTAAGCGATAAGACGTCCGGTGCATTCGTATCTAGCGATGCACCGGTGTTCGAATCTCAGGCTGGTACCAATTTTTCTAATGAAATACGTACTCAACAAATGCTAACGTTTGACTTCCACGGTGAAGGAATAACATCGTGTATTAAAAATCAAACCCACAAAATTATAATTTGCGTAATTACTGGTGGTAGGACCTCTTGTGAGTCCGCGCGGGTAGGTACCACCACCCTGCCTATTTCTGCCGTGAAGCAGTAATGCGTTTCGGCTTGAAGGGTGGGGCAGCCGTTGTAACTATACTGAGACCCTTAGAACTTATATCTCAAGGTGGGTGGCGCATTTACGTTGTAGATGTCTATGGGCTCCAGTAACCACTTAACACCAGGTGGGCTGTGAGCTCGTCCACCCATCTAAGCAATAAAAAATAAAAAAATTCAGCGCCTTGTGTTAATGGATGAGTTACAGGACGTTTATGGATCTTCAAATTTGGTACCGCTATTGAAGAATGAGTCTACATACCAGTATATTTGTAAATTTTTTGTAAATACTGGAATAGAATTATAATTTATATTGAAGATCTGAATTTTTTAAAATTCAATTTGACATATATTATGTCAGTATATTTTCAAAGAAAATATTACAGGACCTGACGTACCAACTAAGAATAAGTGCAAAACTAGTTTCTATTTCACTTAGCTTAGCATGAATCGTCTGAAGGTTATGGTATATTTTATTGTATGCAGATATGATTTGAACTTCAAAGTGTTCAATCCGTAAATTTTCAGTATAATTTTGCCACAATGTTGCAATTTCTTTATTCAATCGAATGAGGTTTCTATTTAAGGTAATGGTTGAATTAGATAAAATTTGCACCATTTCAGAGATTAACGTTAATTTTTTATTATTAGCGTCTTGATCTGATTTTATTTCACTAATTAATTTATCGTATTTTATGGCA